ATGAGATTCCAAACGCACACCATTCCTTTGCAAAATTTGCATACCAAAAATTGTCTGATGTTTTTTTTTTCGTCTTGCGTGCGTGTATCAAGTACACTAAACACATTTTTTTTTATATGAAAGTGATTTGAATGCGAAATTAATAGCTATTGTGACGCCAAAATAAAATAAAATCCAACAATAACATTATCTTTAATTATGTTCGGCGGAAAATCGTCTATACTTTTACCGGTAGTTAGTTTGAAGCACAGCGTGCAGCCGGAATGCGTGTCAAAGATAGAGAAAAAATCTATGCTAATTTTCTACGCAAATAGATCTTTTGACGAAAAAAAAATTATTCGTCGCAATATCATCACTCAAATGGCGAAAAAAGTTTCATGTTGCTGTATATGAATCCATTTAATAATTTAAGCTGAATATTTATGTCGTTTTCATTCTGAGGAATTTCACTTGATTTTTAAGATTATCTCTATGTTGAGCACATTTATCACTGTTATCGTATTGCTGAGTCCGTGTTGCTAACCATTTTTATCGCAACAACAAGAAGCACATTTTATGCTTGAATAGTACCTACATATGAGAGAGTTCATTGCTTTCGTTTGGTTAAATTGTTTATCTATTACAACAAGCGAAAAGTGGTTTTTGTTGAACTGATTCTTTTAATTTAACTAATAACAACATTTTAATTGTCACATGTTTGTGACATTTAAGTAACTATTTTTTTCTAAATTGTTTATGATAATGGGCATTGGCCATTCCTACAATGTCTTCTTCTCAATCATTCCTGTACAGATTCATTAACAAGTAACGTAAAAGTTTCGAATAAAGTGATGCACAGCACCATCTATAAGCTCAAACTTATATGAAAATACGTTACAAAAAGCAGTATACGTTCGAGCGATAATTCATTGCGAGGTAATAATTGAAGTAGGGCCAACATGAGAGAAGAATGTATGCGCGAAATAATTGCTTTTATTTTTTCTTACGTTTTTTCTCATCTTATTCCCGTTTTTCCATTGTGGCAGTTTCGAATGAAAAATGAATCGGATCTGCTCTCAATTGAAAAAGCATTGCAAAGATACGAAGAGTAATTTATATTTGATTGTAAGTACTTTCATGGTGTGAATCAACACTCTCTGAATACAGACGATTAACGATAATATGAAAAACCAACTATACTCTTCCATGCGACTCCTTTCGACAATAAAGTTATAATTCGAAGTCACAATGGCCCTTGGTTTCTCTGTATGACATTTAAGAAAAATTAAACCTCAATTAAAAATTCAATAAAAGTGGATAGATAAATAGGAAGATAGTAATTGGATTAATGATAGGAAATGTGATAAAAATCACTTAATGAAATTAAATTCATTGGCTTTTGTTAGAAATAGGTTCCAATAAAAGGGCTTCAGTATGCAGGTGTGGAAAGGCAGTGATCATTGAGCTTCACTGTTGAATGGAGCAAGTGTCCCTTAACAATTCGTAAATCAAAAAAATATTGAAACTTGTTCGAAAAATGAATCCAACTTGGATAACATACCTGCTCAAATACTACAATTTATGGGGATTTCATTCTCTGCCCACTGCAAGCGTTGGTGGAAAATCGGGGAGCACCGTCATTTTTATTGGCCACGTCATTCTGTGCATTTGGTGTTCAATTAGCACAATAACCAGTTTCATCGAAGATCAAACTCTAATGGAGTTTATGGATTCATTAAACTTCTTCTTGTACTATGTCACTTCTGCTTCATGTTATTGGTTTATAATTTACGATTCATACACAAAACAGGACGTTCAACAAGAATTTTGGGACATTTTCGAGCGGATTAACGAAACATTTTGTTTTCAAGACGACTTCAAAATATGGAACAGTTTAATGGCATTCATTCTAATATTTGGTGGAGACATTTCAGTTTTAATCATCGCATTAGTTTACAAATATTCCATTGGCCCACCCTCAACTGTAACAATGCACTGCATTTTTCTTGGTGTATTCGATCATCGGATATCTTTCTATTTATTGCATTTGAAAGTGATTGCGTTTCAGTTAGAAAAAATTGATTTAGAATTCAAACATATGCAAAAATGGGATGCACAAAAACTGGTGCCATTCGGAGTGAACAAACATGAACAACATCGGTTGAACTGGATACGAGACTATTACAAACTCACTTATGAGATGACCGAAAACATGAACATGATTTTTGGCTTGTCACATTTGGGTCTATTTCTCTTGAGCTTTCACACTTCTGTGGCATTCTTAAACATTATCTACCGGCAATTTAACAATAAGTTCAGAAGTTTTAACGCTGGTATGTCAATTTTCAGCTAAGGTTTTCGTTATTTTTGAAAAAAAAAAAAAACAATGAAATGGTTTTATCACACATTTTTAATTCGAAAACAAAAAAAAAACATTCGCAGACATTATGGGTTTTGCAAGTCTCTTCATGATGTGTCGCATCATATTTCATCTGCTTTATTTCAACAATTCTACGAATAAGTGCTACTCTCTGGTGATTTGACAGAAAATGCGATACTTACGAACGAAATATAAAATGCTTATATATTTTTGTAGGTCGATTCCATTTATTTTCAACAGATTAATACTTTGACAATGAAAACCGACACGAATTCGGGAAAAAGGGTGACTGAATTTTTGATATAAGCAAAAATCATTCATATGATCAATTCTTGCTTCAATTTTTTCTTCACAGATCGAAGCGATTGTCCATCAAATGAATTGCGATATTATTCGATTTCATATCAAAGGAATTATTATGATCAATACAGGCACTTTGTTACGCGTAAGACATTTACAGAAGTGACATTATTATCATAAGTTACTTTCGTTTCAATTTTCATAATATAGTTTTCAGGCATGGTCATCACATACGTTACACTATTCATCCAATTTGCGCAAATGTAATCTTTCACGTGTACGACTCATGTATGTATGGTGTAAGGCACTATTTCATCTATTAAACATTAGTCAATTATATCAAATTAAATTGTGCAAACACCTTATTGATTCTACACGGAATTTTCAAAATAAACGCTACTTTATTTTAACAACCAACCTTGAATTGCATTGCCCATTGCATTTATCATTAACATCGGAGCCCTGCTAAAGGTATGAAATGAAACGCTTTTGAATAAATGCAAATATGGGAAGCGTCGTTTTTATTATAGCTCACTGTAATGGTCATTACATACGTGGTGTTGTTCATTCAATTCTCTCAAATGTAGCAATCATATCGATAACATCATGACAAATAACGATTCGTTCGCTTCTATCTAATAAATTCCATTTTGAAATTATCGATTAAAATGCATTCAGCAAGCGCCAATTCTATTTACTCATCAGTAGTATTCATTCGACTATTATTCAACAAGGTAACGAAGAAACCGTGTTCTTCGGAATGAATAGCGCTCTAGAGCTCTAGAGAAAGAATATTGCTGAAAGTATCTCCACCTCTAAAAAGTCGGTAAAAAATCGGAAAAAGTGCAGCAAATGTTCTGAAAATGGAATGGATAACGTTTACATTAAGATATTTTTGCTTATGGGGCTTCAATTGCATATCCTCGAATGGAATTATTGAGAAATTTTTTAACGCTTTCATTTTCCTCAGTCATATCAGTTGGTGTGCTTGGTGTTCGATCAATCTTCTTCGAGTTTTCGCGGAAAAGCGAGCAATGATGGAATTTTTGGATGCGTTGAATTTTTTTTTGTACTACATCGCTAATGCTTTAACATATTGGTTGATCCTCTGCGACTCTTATAATAATCACATGGATCTAAATGCTTTTTGGCGCATTTTTTGGAAAATCAATAAGCAATTCCAACCGCAATTGAATTTAAAAAAGTGGATTTATTTGACGACATTGGCATCAATTTTTACTGGAAATGTGTTGATGCTCACATTTGCATTGCTTCACGAGGTTAGATCGAGCTATGACCTTCGTTTAATGCATTTCACTTATCTTTGTATGATGGATCATCGGATATTCTTCTATCTGCTTCATTTAAAAATAATCGCATTTCAATTGAAGAATATTGAAATTGAATCAACGAAAATGCGACAGCAAATCGAACGATCTGCAATAGAAGAACTGGATCGTACACTCTATTGTAATAGACAGAAACAATTGAATTGGCTTCGTGGCTATTATGATGAAGTGTACAAAATGTCGATTTATGTTAACTCAATATTTGGATGGTCGAATTTCGCATTAATCATGTTGAGTTTCTGTTCAACCGTTACATTTTTAAACTTGATTTATTCGCAAATACTCGGGCGGTTTATGAAATTCCAATCTGGTTGGTAATTTTCAATTACATTTCATTGGATATAAATAAATGAAAGGACAAAAATTATAACAAAATAAATTTTGATCGAATTTTCAGACGTTCTCATTATCTCGAGTGTCATTGTCATGTTTCGCAACGCAATTCATGTGTTTTACATCAACAAATATACGGATGACTGTTATGCACCGGTAGAATGAGAAATTTTGTTTATACCATCGTATAAATGAAATGAAATTACGAATTGAATTCATATTTTTTCAATCTTAGGCCGAGTCTATTTTCTTTCAAATATTGAACATTTCAATGGAAATTACAGATGAAGACTTAGCTCAAAAGGTGAAAAAAATAATCTAATTTAAATTGAAATTAAGAACAGAATTAATCTGTCTTTTTTTTTATTCAATTCCGGAATTATTTTTCAGCTTGAAGCAATTGTTTGCCAAATGAACACTTGTCCAATTCGTTTTCATGTCAAAGGAATTATTACGCTCAAAACAGCCACTTTGCTAAAAGTTTGTTGGAACTGTATGTTGTCGCGTTTGATTTTAATTTTAATTCATTTTATTCTTTCATAGCTCATGTGCATGGTCATCACTTATGTGGCTCTGTTTATTCAATTCACTCAAATGTAAATGCAAGCTGAGAAAAAAATGAAAACCGACAATCGAATGGAACACATCTGGTTTATTTATTTAAGTTTACAAGTCTAATCCGAAATTAAGATGGCTAAAAATTTGACCGTATGATTTTTTCTTTGTTGGTGGTATCAAAATCCAAAATATCAACGAACAAACTATATTGATAGCGATGAAAATTGGCACAATGACATAGTTTGCACTGTATAAGTAGTCAGCTAAAGCCGTTTCACTGTATGACAGTGCAAACATTAACATCCACATTAAACTGAACACAAATGTGACTGCATAGATCCGAATCTAAAAGTGCAAATTCAATTTATTTAATTGTTCCAATGGATTTGGGTGCATAATATTACCCTCTCTGGAATGATCTCTGGGATTAGGACAAATGTCAATGGATACACACCGAAATGCAAACTGAACGCGGCTATAGCGATAAACAAAATTGGCAAAGAGGTTTTATCTGTGAAATACGCATCATAGATGGCGTAAATGACTTGAGAGACTGTGATTCCTACCAATGATGCCAGCAAAATATACTGAAATTGTTAAATCAGATTGGATAATTGTTAATTTTCTGCTCAGTGATACGAGCATAAGCTTACCTTTCTCTCAACGAAGTCGACTATAGTTAAACAAAGCAGCGACCCAGCCACTTGACATACACCAATCACAATCCGAAAATCGCTGATACTCAATAAAGCGCGGTCCAGTAACTGATGTTTTGTTAAATGGTGCATCACAAACCAATTTACATACACATTCAGAATAATCAAAGCCACACTTATTATTAGCGATTTCAGTGTCGCTTTGCCACCTATGAAAATAACAAAAGTAACAATGAAAATGATCGAATTGAGAAATTCATTCCTGAAAAGTTTGAGCACTGTTTGCGGACATACTGTTTTGAAGAATACAGCCGCTTTCGGCTATCAAAGCCCGACGCATTTTCTTCACCTCTATTTGGTAACAATCATCTGTTTGACACTCCAAATCACTGATGTCTTTGTAAATTTGAAGCGAATTGATTGCTTGCTGTGAGATTACATACATCGATTTAACCGTTTTCATTTGGAGTTCAAGGATTTTGAAGAAAAAAAATGTTTTTTTTAAACTCAATTCAAATCTACATGAAATTACCTCCTTCCGACGAATCTTGTACAGCTGCCGTGGTGTATCGGGAAAGAATGTATACAGACATAAGTACAGGAACAGAACGGTGAGAGCAATGTAAGCAATGTTCATGAAAGATGTGTAAATATTCGATATGAAGATGATTAACATTCCGATGGTAATCGAAAGCGGTAAGATTGAGCTGAGTCGTCCTCGAAATCTATGGAAAAAAATTGATTCATTAGCATTAAAAGTCAAACGTAGAATGCTTTGAATTTCTTTACACTCACTTATCATCGGCCAGTTCAGTAACGAATAGAACTATCAAATTGATTGAACCGCCGGCCGAAAATCCTGATAAAAATCGTCCGATGTACACCTCAGTTGCATTTGTTGCAAGCATTTTTGATAACCACGCAAACTATCCATTTTTCAAGAATCAAAGTTAGCAAAAAAAAAACATTGAATTCGAGAACCGTTATTCAAAAGCTGTGAATCAATCCGTTGTCTCCTTTTAAATCAACATATCGTTCTTCATTTAAAAAAAAAATGATGACGATTCTGGATTAATTCCTTTTGCCATTTTTGGAATTTATATTTAATCAATAACTTACACCTTGTGGAACAATCAAAACGACTAACGTGTATTTTCTTCCAAAAACATCACCGTTCATCGTTAGAAATATCGTTCCAATCAAACCGCCGATATAAAGAGAGAGTTCGATCCATTTTACTTCGATTGGATCAAGTGGTGGCACTTTTAATGGGTTCGCAGAGGAATGAAATTGATTTGTATAAACTATAATCCAACCGATTGTCAGTCCATACGTTAAATTTATTAAATTCCCTGAAAAATATTCGTTCAAAATTGGAAATGGAGTATTCTTGATGTAGAATTTAATATTTTTTCCTACTCAAAGAACAAATTTAATAAATTGAATATTTGCTTTGCTATCAACGCCTTTTTACTTACCAGAAATAGTACCTAGGAATTGTAGACGAATATGATGGCCTCGAGGTAGCATTTTGCTTTGGATATCTTGACATAAATGAATAAGAAAATCGGTGGGACACATCTTAAAACAAAACGCTAAGTCCTTTCAAATGCCCTACTGCAAATGCTTCTGCCATTGGTTTTTCTTTCTGATTCAACTGTTAGTATTTTGACAATGTTAATCGTGTTGCCATTGCTTCAATTTTTCAAATACATAATCGATTTGTTCATCAAAGTAGACAGCAATTTTCGAAAAAAAATTTGTCATTTTAAATGGAAAGCCCAAAGAAAAACAACATCGAATATTTAAAGACAGAGTACCAAAAAATGCATTTTGTTATATTCACATGCGGGACTGTCGCCAATTTTATCTAATGCAAATAATTTGATAACAAATCAGCCACGTAAAAGAGATCTTTAGATAGATCTGTCTCGATATGCATCTGAATGGACTGATTTGACACACGTTTTTGTGATTATTTGTCAAAGAGTACAGTGTAATTTATATCTTTATTGCGGATGTTTTGTTATCGTTTGTACTTTTATGAAGTCACGTAGTCTTGTTCTCCGCGATTCTTGGCGTAGGTCGAATTCTAAAGTATGAACCGCACACTGCATGATGAACCAACATTTATTATTGATGAGTGAGTTGATCACTGTCTTAGTGCTGTAAAGTTTATTGTCTTTATTACAAAATGACTATTTACACAGTCCGACGCGTGTTTTTTTTAATTGGCACATGGGATGTTCAAGTGCCAGGCATTTGTTGAGGCCGCCCTGAGTTCAGAATGGGCCATGGTTATGGTCGAACATCAGCAAGTTTATTAGTTATGACATCCAGCGTTTCTACGTTTCAGGAGGAACAATTGTGTCGCTGAGCATAAAAATGGAAATACGGATCTGTTACAGCAACAACCGAACATAACATATTGTTCCCTAAAAACGTTACATGAATTTCTATCCAACGCGAGTGTAACATGAGCTAATACTGTTTCTAATACAACTCATGTTACACTCGCTTTAGATGGAAATTCATGTAACGTTTTTAGGGAACAATATTTCATGTTCGGTTGTTGCTTTAACAGATCTGTATTCCCATTTCTATGCTCAGCGACACAATTTCTTGATGCAGTTTTTACACCAATACTCGGGTAATTAACGGTTTTCTATCTATCTGTTCAAGAAGTAACACGCAGAAGCGATTCTATACTCTCAGAGCGACAATATGTTCCAGAAAATGGGTTGAAATGGGTAAAATTCGTGGAAAAATGGTTAATTTTTGCACTATAGTACGGTTACAACTTTCGAAATGTACGGTTCAACACATGAGGGTCAGATTTTAGTTGCTGGCAAGCCCAGATAAACCTTATATTTCGTTTTGATAAGTTGGTGGATTCAGTGGAAAAATAATGTTTTTCAAATTTTCTGTTAGTGATGTTAGAAAAGTGTTCGAAAATGGCCTCTTACGATGTTTTTTTCTTGGACAACTACTAATAATAATGTTCAAACCAATTTAACAGAGCATTTTTAAGGAATATCTACGCGGTGTTTGGGACAGTCTCAATGGTGTATGGCTAATAGTAATCGTTATTCGGGACACATACAGCAGCACAGCGCTAAAAAATGAGAAACAGGACATTGAATTGGATGAAAGTAGCTCGAGTTCAAATAACACACACACTAGCAAACGACCCACTCGACGTTCCCATGCAAACAAACGTGAACTCAACAAACTCAAAGAGTATGACAATCGATTGATTTGCTATGTCATTCGCCAATTAATGCCAGAAATATTGCATTTTTCTTCTTCTTCCCTTTTTCATAGAGAATCCAATTTGTTGAAGCGAGTCTTTCAGTGCTGTCTATTGAATGACGGTTTCTTTGGCCTTAGCATCACGTTGTTTGAATATGTTTTACTGCCAATCATTCGAATGTTCCTGAGATGGATGTTTACACAGAATCCGGGCAGTGGTGCTATCATTGGCAATTATATTGTCACATTTCTATCGATTCTATTCGGTATGATTTGGGTCATGCCACTGTTTATCTTGAGTAAAATCGTCAATAGTTTATGGTTTCAGGTGAGGTGGGATTGAATTTAAGGAAAATCGATTTTCTCTAGCTCAGAGAATTCTACATAAAATCACACAAAAGAAAAACTAAAAAAGAATCAAAACATCTTGAACAAAGACTTCAATCCTTTTTCATGTCTTTTCCATAGGATATTGCTGATTCAGCATATAAGGTTCGCAAAGGTCAACCGCAGCTATTTGTGAGTTTCAGTGTCATCATAGCCGATACACTGTCTTCGTTGCTTGTGCAAACGTTGTTCTTAATCCAGAGCATGGTCGTGAATTTGTTACCAATCCAACTACTTCTACTTTTTAACATATTTTCACTTGAGTTTGCTGTATTCACTGTATTCGTTCGATTACAAATGGTGTAACATGGGATGGGAACTGCATAAGCGGCTAACCTATATCGAAAATCATTGGCCGTATTTCCTTGGCTTCGGCACCATTCTGACAATTCTCACGCAATTGACATCGTCAATCTTTATCAGGTAAGAGAGGTTTATGGTTTTTTAGATTGTTTTTTAATGTGAATAACGTGTGAAGAGCTCAAACAAAATGGGATTCTATCTAATTTTTGTTTTTCTTTGATTCTATCATTTTCTAGTGGTTGCATCTTTGCTGTATTCTTTCCGTTCAGTATACTTAGTGCGAATGAAGCAACGCCAGTTGAAGCGTCAATGTAAGTAATCGTTTGGCTCTCATCATGGCTTTGATGAACAATATTGATTTAATTCCGATTTTTTTCGTGTCATTTGCAGTAACTATCCGCTGAAGTTTTTCAGCATCGTCGTAGCCATATCGAATGCTCTCTTCAATAAAACGATTCGACCGGCAAATGTGCCAATTTCAAGGGCTGCCATGGATGCAGCAATCACAGCGGCCAATGCAAACGACACATTTCGTACGATAAGACAACAAACACCGCCAGTAAATGTATCGCATAGTCGAAATCAGTCATCGCATCATTCGGGTACACATCGCCACTACAGATAAAAATGACTCACAATCCTATCTATTCTCTACCTTTTAAGAACGAATATTCGAATTTGATTTATTGACTTTTTTTTGTAAAATTTGCTATGAAAATGTCAACCTTTTTGTATCTTCACGTATATTGTTATCCATAAGTCGAATAAAATATTATGGTGCTCAATATTGTTCGGGTTTGATTCAAATTTACACATTTGCTCATCTGTTTCCTTGATTTAGCCTGCAGAAATTATAAAAAATTCATATAATATATAGAAAAAAAATCCATTTACGAAAAAAACGAGAAATTTTTGCTGTTTCGCATTCAAACTCATTCGTTCCCAGACAATGGGAGCATTGAACGCATCCAGCCGTTGACATTTGGATGTCAGCTGAGATAGGCTCGGGCACAATCACAATTTGTTACACACAACTATACACACGGACTGTGTATTGCATTTTTGATGTGTCAATGTGTTTGTTTCTTCTATTTGAAATCGTCTTGAAAGAACACCATGACTGAGTGAAAAGAGCACATACATTTCATTTTTATTGAACCAAACGAAATAAAAAGAAAAATAGATTGCTGTCAATGTTCCACGGGACAAATTCGATTGGTTCAGCGATAAATTCATAGTTTTTTTTGTGTATAATTCGGTTTGCAAGAGCATTTAGTTGAATTTCATTTGTCGATTACAATTCGCTAAAAATATATAAAAAGAAAAAAAAAATAATTGAACATTCGAAGTGGAGGCAAGAGTTTGTAAATGTGAGGAAATTTATGTATTTTTTTAGTGCCGTCAATGTGAAATCGAATGTGGACTCAATATTTAGAAAGAGAAAAAAAGGGTTGTGTTTGCCATTTGTATTTCGAATGTTACAATCCGGAGCATGTTAATTTCAAGTGGAATCGCTTTTTCGTGTGCATTTTTTGTTTCGAAGCCTGGTGGGCTCTCGAACAGTGGACAATTGAATTGTAATTATGAACAAGCATCACACAAGTACTAATCGACGAAACACACATATCAGTATTACACAGCAAAACGATGAGACATATACACTACCAATGTGCCATTGATTTTTTTTTATCTTCATTTGAATTTGTTTTTGCTTGATTTTTTTTCCTGCTTGTTGTACATTGCATCGCATCGCATTTTTCAGCAGCGACTAAATTACATCTCAAACTCGATTCAAGCTGTGTGTGCGTGTAAGAGAGAGAAAGATGAGTCTGTGTGTATGGCAGTATGTGCACGTATAGAAATTTGTTGGGAAAATGGTCACAAAAGGAAAGAAAACAACACTTCGCTACTTAATCGAAACAAAGATTCGGCTTTTGAATAAACTCTATTCCGCTGTGTTTATTTGTGTGAAGCAGAATTAAAATACGAAAATCGCAACTATTTTTGCACCAAAGACTCGCCATCGTCGTAGTGTTTCTCGATGGGAGAAATAGACAAACTAACTACTTTATATATATATATATATATATATGCCTCAGTTTAATGCATGAGCTATCTAGAATGTTCTTAAAATGCTACATTCCTCATAGAATTTCGACTATGACAAAATGTATTTGAATAATCCGAATATTTGCTTTTATTACAGCAACCCCCTATTGTTTCGCTCAAAATGTCCGTACCACGACTGATATCGGATACAAATGTCTTGGTTGTTGATGAAATTTATAAAATGCTGGGACCATCCGGAATGGTAATTTATTTGCCATCGAAATGTAACAGAGAGAAAAAAACAAATGATTTTCATTTAGAATCGACGTTTTAACGACAAAAACGGAAGATTCTTCAGGAAAAGCGCTGTAAATAACGGTGCAGCGATTATGAAACTTTCGGATTTTGCTCACCCGGCTGCAAAGATTCTTATCGATTACGCCAATTTACAAGATGAAAAATGGCATGATGGTACAACCAGTGTAGTTCTATTGGCTTGTGAACTTTTCAAGCAACTCGAACCGATCGTTAAAGAAGCTGCTAAAGCGAATGATATCGAAATTACTATACGTGAAGCGATACGGCTATGTTCGGCAAAAATTGGTGATTGGGCTGTGCCCTACGAGGGAATCTGTGAAAATCAAGAGGAAGAACGTGAATTGTTGAAGAAATGTGCAGCTGCCGCTTTGAATTCGCAGCTAAGCGATCAGCAAAAGGAATGCTTCTCGAAAATGGTTGCCGATGCTGTTTTTGAATATCACGATCGAATACTGAAAGATTCATTTGTACACAAAATAATCAGTATTAAGAGGATTAAAAAGGTTGTAGATACCTTGAACGATGCACAAGCTTGTTCCTGGCGTTGCATTTGAACGGACCGTTTCGTTTCTTGAATCTAACCAACCACTGGGAGAATTGCTAAATTGCAAAATCGCATTTCTTAACATTGCTGAGGTTGATATCAACAATGCAAATTGCAGACAGATCGTTGACTCTGGTGCTAAAATTGTGTTATCAAAATTGTCGATTGGTGATTACGCTACGCAGTATTTTACAGCTCACGGTATGTTCTGCGCTGGTCTTGTACCTGAAGAGGATTTAGAACGTACGATGTACGAATGCGGTGGTTCTTTTATTTTCTCGTTTCAAGACTTCAATGGCAATATGTTGGGTAATTGTGCATCATTCAAAGAGCAGGAATTCGGTGAACAACGATTCAGTATCTTCCAAGGTAAATTGAATTGAAAAACATTTCACTCCGATTTTATAGCATTGCTCTTAACAACAAATTCATTAAATTTGTTTTTCACCAAAATTTTTAATAGGTAGCGAATCCAAAACATGTACAATAATTTTGTGTAGTCGCTCTGTTCTAATCGAAAAAATCGAATGCTCATTGCAAAATGCCATTCTGCTTGTGTATCGCATCATCAAGAGTGATTCGGTTGTCGCCGGGGGCGGTGCTATTGAAATGGAATTGTCAAAAATGTTACGTGACAAGACTGGAGAAGGGAGATCGCTTTACGAAGCCATTGCCACTGCATTAGAAGTTATTCCACGTCAATTGTGTGTCAATGGACATTTTGATGCAACAAAAATTGTGAATAAGCTATGTCAAAAGCATACAGAAGGTACATTCCAAGAGTTCAACCAATGTATTTTGTATCTCTTACATGAAAAATTTAAATGAAACCTATATTGACATATTTGTTGGCTTTCTTTAGGCAACAAATGGTTTGGTGTCGATATAACAAAACAGGATATTGCTGACAATTTTGAAGCTCGCGTTTTGGAGACAGCAGAGATGAAGAAGAGTGTATTGGAAGCAGCAAGCGAAGCGACACTCGAAATTTTATCGAAGGTTGAATGGGTTGAGCGTTCAGAAGCTGGTTGTGCATCACCAACAATGCCAACGATACATGGACTCGAGTCCCAGAGCCCATCATCAACATCCCAAACAATGACATTTTTAACGGCCTTATCAACACAAATACCAGCCTCAATGAGAATTGATTGGAAGAGATTTTGTATCAAATTAGGTTTGATAACGTTGATTCTTTTGATTGCAATTTTTATGGATTTAATTTTTTCCTAAAGTATTTCCATTTCTTGAGTTCTATATCAACAAATTCAATACTTTCACGAGTTTCGTTTTATATCTCGGGTCATGTGCTTTTGGTTTTGATTTTCTCTACTTGGAACTGAGAAAGATGGTATTGAATTTCATATCACGTTTTCGTACGTAGATTACATGAATGTTCAAAACTTCTCAATTGAACACATTTATCGATTTTTGGTTTCGAATCGATCCATTCTTGTAAATTAAAAAAAATTGTTGCTACGAAAAAATCGAAAAAAGCGTTTGATTGATTTCAATTTTAGAACGAAACTCATTCGTTTGAGCAGATTTTCTAAGCGTACTCTTTTTTACGCATCAACTAGCTATTTAGAAATCTGTAAATCGTTTGTCTGGTATCTTGATTATAAAAGAGTGTACTTTGCAGTACTTTTCAGAACTGAAAAAATGACACCCCCTCTCACTTCCGAAAATTGTTTGTACACTTTTTTTCTAACGATTGTACAATAAAGTACTCTTACTTCGTAATCTAGACTGTGCTTTGAAAAAAAAATTGACTAGCAAAATAATGAGTACACAGCCATTTACAACGTCTTTGTTTTAGTCGATATTTATTCAAACCGTTTCGGAACGGTCTTTTGTTCTCCCATCAGAGATCTATGGTAATTAACACGTCAATATTAACCTAACTGTAAGTGAAAATCTCTGAAAATATGTGTTGAATTCGATTATCGAATTGTACTGTACAATTGTTTTTGTAATGAATATTTTGTCTATTACCATAAAACTCTGAGGAAGGAACAAACTCCGTTTGACTGAAACATATACCGTATTGGGTTTTACCTATCCAATTGAATATCACCGGTCGGTAAATTATCCCTATACGTTTGTTTCGTTTATTTAGGCATTTACAATCCGAGTCCCTGGCATCATCTCAAAGCGGATTAAATCCATGTGACACCGTGGTAATCGCAAACATAAATGAAAAACTACACATACAAACACTATAATGAATATAATAAAATATTCTAAAAAGAAAGAACTGTATTGTATTTTATTTGGCAAAAAATAAATAGGGAGACATGATTCTGTGTCTAAGAATCTAGAGGTCAAGACCTTTTCAACGGTAGTCTAATTTTTCTGATCGGTTCAGTGATGACCATTTTACAAAAGTTAGAAAATTTCCAGCGATTTTCTGAAAATAATATATTTCCGTTATAATTTGCCATGAAAAACGTAACTTTTTGTTCGGGAGGTACCCCAAAAATGCATTTTTTTTCCTGTTCCATGGAATGAGCCGTGGAATTTATTCATTTCTGTACAATGCAAAATAATTGAAATTGACTGTTAAAAAAAGTGTGGCAAATTATGGCTATCGAAATATTTCGTTTTTAGTTGCAATGGCACGCGTTGTTTGGATCGTGATCAGTGTTCGTTCAATATTTCTGTTCCAATTCCATTAACACCGTTTGTTGTAGACTCAGAGATCGTGGTTTTTAGTTGCTTTGGATCACAGCTGTACGTTTCCAGGTGAGTAAAGTATTCTTGGTCATTAAGTAACTGGTCTCTCCATTTGGTGTTGTCGAATGCACCTTGAGTTCCTCCGTATTCAGTTGGCAGAATCTCCTTTGGAATGTGTCGATGCAACGACTTGAGATCATTCCCATGTGTATGAAGCTGTTCAAGTAAATCGAATTGACGATTATTAGAAGAAGAATTAATAATCATTCTGCTCAATGGCGTTTGATGATCAGCTTAAGACTTACCCTGTTCCGAATTTTCTCCGACATAAATGGCTTGATCAAAGCCAGCATGGCATCAAAATAAAACGGTTCATGTAAAATGTGAAACGCTTTAAAGCGCATTGGGAATGAGTCTTGAATAACTTCAGCGCTTCTTTTGGCCAAATTTGGCGAAAGGAATTTGGCGTGTGCAAATTTCAAACCAGCCATATCAAGCATCACAACCAAACCGCCAATTTGTGTTCGTGGATCACGAATTGCATACTCTAACGCCATTATATTGCTACGAAAAACCATTTCCGCTGGCCATTTGTATGGATCACAGTTCTCTGTGAATTCAGTAAGAACATTTAGTATATCAAAAGATTCAGAAAAAGAATCAAAATTTTGAAAGGAAGACTTTTTTTGAATTTCAATACTTACGGACACGAAACAGGTAAATCACCGAACCATTTTCATCGTGCTGTGGTAGGATCTGTTGCATTTGCATCTTAAGGAGATTTTGCATGTCAGACAATGGTGATATACGGAACAGATCAGGCGATTCACTTTTCATTTTGAAATATTTTTGAATCTAAAAAGAGAAAGAATTCGAATTGAGTGCAATCAATACAATTCTTGAAACAAGATAAAGGTAAATGTAATTACCATTCGAAATGATTTGTCCACATCGAATTTCTTGGCTCGTAGAAATCGCAATAAGAATGCATCATCACGTCTGGCATTTGGTATATTTTTATCTTGAACAACACGTTCTTCCAACAATCGCAATTTGATTGCTCGGTTTTCGTCACACTCCGCAAGCTCTTTTTCAGCCTTTTCTCCCCATTTTCTACCTGTAAGTTGAAACAACGTGAAAAAAAATTCACAAAAATGTATTAACAGTTGATACCAATTCAAGGAAAAATGAACGAATTTTTTTTGCTGTAAATCCTCACCTAATTTTAAATTGAGTTCATTTTCTCGAGCTATGTCTGCAGTAATAGTGTTGATGTTTCCGTTGCAGTTTTCCATCTCTATTTGCATTTGCAATCTGTTGATGGCGAGGGAACAAAAAATGATTTAGAATATTTCGAAAATATAATCTTAATTTTACATGTAACTTAAACATTTCAGTTGTGTCGTATAAGTACAGTGATTGTGACGAGCGCAAACTCATTTCCTAGACATTGACTTGCCTTACACATAAGTGTCTTATGATAAGCCACTCGATGCAGACTGTCAAAAACACACACTTTTCATGCATTCGTAGAAAAACGAGCGATTCAGATAATTGAGGTTGAGTAAATGCGAAAAGATAAATCTATGATAAAATTTCGACAAAATTATTGGAAATTTTCGTTGCCTACATCCAGAAACACCACATAAATTTAGATTTATTTTATGTAAACATAAGAATCGGCATTCCGAGACTATCAGAATTTTATCGATTTTATTTTTCTTTCTGCTTTAACTCAATTCTGAATGACTAGGAGCTTATCAAAGTACAAATGATTCAAACTCGGAATGTCATAACTGTCCGTTCAATCACACCAAATACAGAACAGAAATAGCGTTTCACTTTTCTAGAGCAAATTTTCATTTGATATGCATGTAATGAGGGGCTCAGCTGAAATACCACGTCATGTAATACAAGCCAAAGTGGGAGTGTCTATGAAGTGTCGAGAAATTTGTAGCGAGATAGTAACGTGCAATCCATCAAATGATGGGCGATTCGCTTTGATCCATGATAATTAACCTAAATGACTATTATCAACGGGATTACTCCCAACATTTCGTTTGTGAATTATGACAAACTTTAAACATGGGCAATTTTCGCGTAATAAAATTGAACACTTCAACTTGATGGAATAGAGAGCTGAACTTTGGTTAAATATTCGAAAATATAAAAAAAAATTGGTATGCCGTTTCAAAGGAATTCAATGTCGTTTTGGCACATCAAATAGTGTGACGACAGACTGTCACGTGTATTCACTACTCACCATATAGCATAGCTTGAATCTGAGAAAGCACGAGAAATCAACGATAATATCCGAATTACCAATGTTCGACTAAAATAACCCATTGGCTTTATATTACGCCAGCCAGGCCAATTGGCAAAGCGAAGCAAGGGGAATATAACAATGAATTTGATTAAGAAAAATTTTCAATACAAAACAAGCGAAATTCTTTCGAAAATTGTAACAAAAATATGTAAATATTCAACATTATGGGAAGAGGAAAATTCGTATCTACATATCAATTCCTTTATCATTCATCGGAATTTCCGATTCGGAAAGCTAGGTCAAAATTAGACCGAAGCAGCAACAGGTTCGAAATTAAACCGAAATCACTTTACTTAAGTGAATTTTATCGTCTTCCGTTTTCCGTCTTCCGTTTAAGGTTTTCGGTGAATACTACATTTGTCGGATATATTTCATCATTCTTTCCCAATAGTAGATAACAACAAGTACTATCGAGTGTGGAAATAACTCAAAACACATGTTCGGAAATTGGCATTCATTATTCAAAAGGATATGTCGAAAACAATACAACTTGGATATTGATTAAAGTCGCGTCGAATGGGCAGTTTGCATACCATACCAAAGTGCATTTACCAAATCGGAAAATGAGTCGTAAATCACACACGACGAGAATTTTTCGAATATTGATTGAGTGTAATTAGTTTGAGTGGCCCATGTTTTGAAGTTGAAACGTTTAACTTTTGAATTATGTATGACAGATATCAACCGAGTCAGCTAGTTGTTGTTGTTGAGTTAAACGTCAGTTGTTGCCATTGACAAAGGGATTTTTGAAATTCTCTAACGCGTATTTTTCGTTGCTAACACAGCAATATTTCACAGTATCGCACCAATGACTGTTTGCCGAGGAATGTAAACAATGTGATAGACAGACGCAGTGTTGAGTTGCGTAACAAGCAGATGTTTTTTGTTGTTATTCTCTCTTGTTTTGCCTTTTTAGTCCTTTGCAAGTTGCTAATGGCGAATAGACGAACAGAAGACGTTGATGAAGAAGAAGAAGATGAAGAAAAAACGGATTGTCAAGGCGAAAAATCGCCACAAAACATGTTCCAGATATAAACATCACCACACAGAAAGTGAAAAAAAGGTCTACATCATCGTCGTCTACGCCGACGTCACATCGATGGTATAGAAACAAAGCCAAAAAAAAGTATCACAACGAATTAAATTATTGTCACTCAGAGATCAATCTATTTATAAACGAAGCCAAGAATTTGCTGAGTACGAATTTAATTTCAACGTTTTTTTTGTGTCATATTTTCGATTTATCAATTATTTCACATTTGTAGATTTCAAATGTGTTTTGTTTTATATCTATCAACATGGTTTGCGTAGCAAATCCCAATAATTTTCACCATATGACTACCGATTATACTACGAGACATACTGTGAAATCCGAATAAACAATACTTTATTTGCCAAATACCTTGTGGTTTTACTCGTATCTTTGTATTTTCTTGGTTTTTTTTTTCAATTATTCACAACAACAAGAACGATTTGATGAAAGAAAAAAAGGTGACAAATTCAAAATTCCGCGTGAAAAACGAACATTTTCGGATTGAGAAGAAGAAAAAAGGAAACCGCACGAAGTTGAAGGCACTTATTCACATACTGATGAGCTAGTGAAACGATATACTTCAAACGAGCGTACACACGGTGCCATATGCGCTGCACCAACACATGCGGGTGTATGCAAAGCGTCATACACATCAACACACACCATAGCGGTATATACGCAAAACAAACAATACAAGTTACCTAATTCAAGCCGCACAGAGGTAGTCTATCTAATGGCGTTTCTATTTCCGAACAGACACTTAAAAATAAGCACGAGAATGATTCTACCTTTTCAAATTAACGCCAATATCACAATATAATTATGATTTGCGTTATCAACCGGAGATGATAAAGAACTTTCGGTGTCATTGACAGAGAGCTACAAGTGAATTAAAGTGGCGGAACTCATTTCGATTTTGGAAAATGTTTGTTTTCATTGCCGCTTATTATCATCCAGTCCAAGAGAAAAAAAAACTTAATTTACATGATTGTCTCTGGGCGTTGTTTGGCACATGCAAGACTTACCCAATTCACACACACGCACACCCTTTCATTGCACTTATTTCATATTCAACCGATCCCATTTAGCTAAAACAGTTTTTGCCCAGCTTGGTTTTTACACTAATTACTTCCAAGTATTCATTCAATTGTATGCTGTGAATCGTCTTTGTTTCATTTGTTTTTTCAATTACCTTCTATTCATTTCCCACAGATGTCGCTCAACTACTAAAAACGGTGAAATTGTTCTAAATATTTGGAAAAAAAAATGTCATTAGACAACAGCTTTGAATCAGGAATCAGGTTATTTCTTATATTTTTGTAGAATCGAATACAAAAGTATTTTTTATTTTAAACATTTGAGTTTTTCAATGCAAAAAATAAGCAAACGATCAATTTTTTAGAATAAAAATGGAAACAAAATCGATTGCTTATTTTGCGTTCTTGAATCCAAACTCTCGGTTTCTGGCGAGTATTTTTTCGCGTGACAAAATGAATTTCAACGATTTTTCATAGTCAATAGCACCATTCTTTCCACCATATTCATCTGGAAGGCAATCTTCGCCCAGATTGTCAATCAAATCAGCATAGCCATTGCTGTGGAATTGGAACTGGAAAAAGAAAGGTTGAATTTAAATTATCATTGAGCTCAAGTTTGATTGATCAAGTTTTTTTTTTTTTTTTCATTTAAATTCACAAAACTGATTTTAAAACAATTGTTCAAACGTTTATTAAAACTAAAGCAATAAATTGCCTCGATTGAAGAAAAAAACTGTATTACAAATTGCAATTGGACATTGCTTACCCTTGCAATAGTGGCTTTTCTCAAAAATGGTTTGATAAGGAAAATGCAAGCTTTGAAAATGGGCCCCATATTAACGACATGAATGGTCCAATCTTTGATCGGAAGACTTTCAAGTTTTGCAGCGCCGACTTTACAGTTCTTCGGAACGAGCCATTTCAAAATCGATGAGTTGAGGCCCGTACAATCGGTGATAAACGAAATGCCATTCATCTGTGTCATCGGGTCACTCAAAAGCACCTGCATCCAAATGTCGTCTAACAACGATGCATCGTTGAACTCAGTCGTCGGTCCAACATTTCCTGTCGTTGGAAAATTTTAATTAAATTTTGGTTAACTCATATACCTTTTGGAGTTAACATAATTGTTTGACATAATTTCTTTTGCTTTCGATTACTTAATCGAAAATCGATCATAACATTACAAAATAAAGGCATACCTAATTTGGCAACGAGCACAATTCGACCATTTTTGTCACGCTTATCGAGTAAAACTCGTGTGTTGAGGTTCAGTAAATCAATGTACTCTGATACTTTTTTGTCGGCATGAACCAATGGATTGTCGCGCTAAAAAATATCATCCATCAAAACCAAAATATTATTACATATTTGCATTTATAATACAATTGTCAATTTATAGTCGTTTGAAAACACAATGTATCACGATTTGTCTACCTTCAACTCGTAGTAAGTCACAATCGATTTGTAAGCAGCTTCAACATTCCAATCGCGGTAACGAAGGAATTTCGTAAGAAAATAATTGTCTGTTTGAAAATTGATTTTGGTTTTTTGTTTGAACATTGATTTTAAGTCGTTGATGGCCTGTTGTTCAGCCTTAGTAAATGGCCGTGGCTCTTCTAATTCACGAAATTCAAGCATTTTACTTTGGGTATTTTCACACTTTACCACACACAGAGATTTCACTTTTACTTTTACAATCACTTTCGTTGTCAAAATTACAAATATCTTTTGGATTTTTAACAAAAATAACAAATGTTTTGCTCCTTCCAAAACTACCGTTGACTTAGTTGACTGTATTACTGTTTAATTTATTATAATTTTTTTAGTGAATTTTATTCAGTAAATCTTGAGTGAGCTTGGATTTTTAAACACTTTTTCCAATATGTGCATCAATTATAAAGTGATGGAACCACTTTGGACAATAATACACACATAAACGATGGACGTGAGTCTCTTCACAGACTAAATGACAACGGTACTGCTGAAGTGTACACACTGATTTCAAAATTGCGTATCGAACACGAATCGATTGAATTGAAAAGCAAACAAAAAATCTGAAAATAAAAATGCAAAGTATTCACAAAATTCCCTTGACTTCGATATATTTTTCGATGGGAATAATAGAAATTTATGCATTTAGGCGAGTTTTTTTTTTCTCGTGTGCTGACTGTGCATCAACAGTGAAATTGCTTACCGTTTGTGGCAAAAAATGTTCGCAATTTTGCATGCAAATCCAAATTTTTTTTTTTTGGTTTATGGTATGGTGTCAGCTGTGTGTTCAGTGCAGCAATACGTATCAACCGCCACCAAAATACTGAATACCTCATGTATTGCATGTGCGAACACAAGTGACAGGTTTTGAACAATAACAATAGTTCAATAAGGCAACGTAATTATACTGACTTTGATTTTTAATTAGCGACCACTTTTTGTGTTCTTCTTTCACACACTTGACCATTATTGTTTCTTTGTGTCTTTTCACTTTGCTTGCATGTATGCATATTTATCGCATTCCACAGTGGATTTTACCTGACAAACCGGTCCATTTATCAATACAAATTTATTTGAAAGAGAAAAAAATTATTGCAGTGTAATGTATCAATAATAATTACTGTAAATTAACTCATGCTATCAGATGACTTCGCTCTCTTCCGGATACTAAACAATCAAGGTCTATGGTTCAAAAGTGGTTTATTTGTTCTAAAAGATATTTTAATTTTTACATGTTTTTTTTTTCTCTTAAGAAATTTACAAAACGATTTAATTTGCCAAGGGAAATGTTGATTTTTTTTTCTTTATAAAAGAATCATTTTATCACAATCGCCAAACCGTGTTTGGTTCTTAAAAATATATATATGGATAACTCCAAATTTATGTTTACATTTGAAAATAAAAAAAAAATTTGAGGAAAATGGATATCGTTGGGATTTTAGATGAAGATACTGAACTCTTCTGGATCAAATTCATAGCCAAGACGTTTCATTTCTTCCATTACTTTGTCATTTTTGGCGAGATTTTCCATCCAAGCCGTGTATGGGAATTCTGGCATTTCACCACCGTATTTCATTGGCAAATTTGCTTTATCGATGTGCTGGTGTAATGAATCCATGTCCGATCCGTGAATGTAGATTTGCTTACGCATTCTGTCACTCAAAAATGGCTTGAATACTTGCCATGCCATGTCAAAAGCCCAATTGTTGTTGATAATGTGAATAGCAGTGGTTCGAACTGGCATACAAGTCTGGGAATCAATAGAAATGTTTGCGATTAGTTCAATTCGACATCAAGAGACAAATCAAAATTTTAGCGCAGAAAACACATTTACCACCATCAAGCTGATAATTTTCTTTGCCACAGATGGTGACAAATTCCAAATATGCTGCAGAGACAATCCTTCGAGATCGAAAATGCCTGAAAAAGGGGAAAAATACCATGAAACCTTTTATTTGGTATAAACACAAGCAATTGGACGGAAAAAATTCTTGGGAGCCGAAAGAAATCGTCATGAATAGAAAAAATAAAACGTGAAAACTCACCAACACCACCCATAACCTGCGATTGCGGCTCTAGTGCGCCCATTTCTAATAGAATTAGTGAAGCTTTGAAGATGTCATCAACGGGAATCTTCGATGGTCGCCAGTTACCAAACTTGTAAATCATAATGCGACGGCCGTTTTGATCGCGATAAGGTGTCACGGAGACGATATCGTCTTCACCGAGCTTGGTCAGCAAAAATGGGTGCACATCGACGTGCAATTCTGGGTTCGATTCGCGAAACTCGCAATATCGGCACAACTATAATAATAATAAAGCAAAACAGGTTGTTAATTAATTTGTCTTACGATTTCTAGAATTAGAATAAATGACTGCAATCAATATCAATCTGTTTTTTTTTTTTATATAAAAATAAACGGAATACCAACCAAGTTGTATGCATGTTCCAGCTTGAAAAACCGAGCACGCAAGAATCGAATGAGAAAGTCGTCATCGGTACGAGGTGGCAGACAAACTCCTCGTTCTGAAAAAAAAAAAAAATATATATGAAAAAACAATTACATCAAATCCGTAAATAACGAAACAACAATCACTTTATCAACACTCAATGTCTCGGAGCCAGACGAAAAAACTGTGAAACTATTTTTTTTTCTTACCAAAAATCATGTCTCTCAATTCTTGAATATCGCTGCAAACCCGATCCGGATCCTCGCCTTGCTTACGGGCAATATCCATTATCTCATTGGGTAGGTCAGGACCAAGATCAATGGTATGCGATACTTTGACTGGCATCGTTATGGCGTCTGAAACAAACAAATAAATTTTTTGTTATTACTACTGACCGGGATGTTCTCAGAATTTTTCTAATTTTAAAATTCCCGCCGAAAAAATGTTTTATTTTGTGAGTAAATCAAAAATATTATGCATCTGGTGGTCAATGTATCTGATCACCACCACATATTTATATTTTATCGCCAGTAAAACACAATACTCTATTGATTTTGCACCTTTTAGAATGACCATGATGTAATTGTATAGACAAAAAATACGTTAAGCTCCGTAGCCGTAAAAAAAATTGAGTGATTTATGATTCGAAGTGAGACGAGACAGTTGTGATACTGTTTGATGCATACTGGTTCACCTGGGTTTATAAATTTGAAATAAGTAGCGAAGCGCAAAATAAGGAAACCGGTTCAAAATCTTTTTTCAGGCTGACACACTGATTTCATCGGATATCCATACTTTTTTCCCACAGAAAAAAAAACATTAAAAAAATGATTCATGTCAGAGCATAAGTGCCATTATTATGACATATACATATGTGTCGTTGAAATGCTATGAATCAAATTTACTACGCATGTGACGTACTTTGGCTTGATTTTTTTGTTATATCGGTGTAAATGACACTCAAAATCGATTTTATCAATGGGAAAAGAAACTATCAATTATATTGTGGAACGTAAATTTTATTGTACGTAAAAAAAAAATATACTCGTATGTACGTTACAGGTCAATGAAACGAAATTTCAAGTAGGCTCAAGTAAGCGCATCATTTGAGGTTTTGTACTTTACAGAACTAGTGTATGCATCAGTTATTTATAACTGAAAATTAGTAATTTAGAATTTCGGTATTTAAATTAAAATGCTTCATTATTAATCAACAAAAAGTTATAAATAACCAAACATAAACGTCATATGAACTAATTGGAAGAGAATAATAAAACCAAGTAAAAATAGTGATTAACAAAAAAAATTTTTTATGAACAATCTAAAATGTGCTCTAAATTCCATTTCTTTATCTATTGGTTCATCTGGTTAATGATTTGTGTGCATAAATGAATCGCTGAATCGTGACAACATTTGTGCTATTTGTCGCGCGGTCAAGCGAACGTTGTAACTATCTGCAGGCATGTATTGAAGACTGCATTTGAAAACATGCAATTTCACTTCCGGAACAGATGTCGGGCACACGATATGCAAACCGATGCGGTAATTCATACCAACAGTGCTTTAAAATTCGATTGAACGCAGATGATGTTTGCAAAATTCCGGCCATAGAATGAATCTCATATTTTATAAAACAGAATGTGCTTGTAGCGTTCTTCGGGTCAAATCAGTGAATTCCGTGTTTTGCCACGGTTCAGCGTGTACCATTTTGCTTGAAGAAAAAATCAAGTTGCGGTTGAATATTGTAATCCACAGAATAGAGAGTTGTATGAGAACAAAACTAATTTTCTCACATTATTTTGAAAAAAAAAAAAACAAGAGAAAAATATGGCATACGAAACAATCAGCTAGTTAGCATACGGATGAATTTCTGAAATTTTTATGACCAGCGAGTGTTCTTTTTTATTCAATGACATTGACATTCAATTAACATTCAATATACGTTAAGCATTTAATCACTTATGAAGAGGGGAAAAAAACAGCGCAAAAATGTCCATTTTTCAAAAAGATATTTGCACCTGCATGCAGCGAAAAAAATGAATATTTGAATACAATACCCATTGAAGAATAAAAAAAAAAAGATCAAAACATTGACTCCAACAACACACAACGCATTTGCAGACACTGAGTGATTACATCGGACGGTGTTGGTTATTTCGAACGAATCATGGCAAATAAAAAGAAAAACAAATCATGTATTTCGCTTAATGCCTTTGTTAAGTGTTTCGGTCAACGTTGTGCCCTCGCGAGTGTGTGTGTGCGCGTGTGCGCTCGTCGCACTTTGTAAATGGCTGATTGGCGCTTTTTGTCCACACAGACGCACCTTTACAAAGCAATAAGTGAGTAATTTCTTTGGTATAGGAAATAGCCAAAAAACGAAATCTCTATAATAAGTTATTGACTATTACGTATATAGTCTTTTTTTTTTCGTCGGTCCCATCTAACCCACGTAATTACTAAACGAAATTCTCCATAAATCATGAATACGATATCTACGCCGTATGAATTCCGTGACAACAATGATCATCGATATGTTTTTTTCTTTCTGTTGCCGTCCGTCGAATAGAAGTACCTTTTTGGCACAAATGACAAATTTGCAATGACCTTGACGTAATTTTGTATGACTGAATGAAATTAAGCAACGATAACACCAGGCCAACACCACATGGAAACTATTCATGTTTGTCGTGTTACGACCATATTTGTAATTAACACGCCGAATAGTGTTGCATTTGAATAAAACACATCATTCCAAATCGGGCAAGTTCAAGTGTGTTTCGGTTCAAATGTTTGGCAATCTCAATCTAACGTGTTTTCCATTGGAATCGCCAAATTTAATAGAAAAAAAACGTTTTTAGTTGGAAAGATCAAAAAACTTGTTATGTTTATTTGGATTTCTTTGATCCAAATTGAAACACCCACACTTTTCGATGCTGATCCATCATTTGCGATGACGCGTATATAATTTGTAAGCGATTTTTTTCTTCCAAATTTTGTGATTTGAGACCAAAAACTACTTCCGAAATCACAATGATGTCCGACACACGAATAGAACTCATCTTCCCATATGTTTCTCGACGAGAAACTTTTCGTTCTAATTTAAAAGTAAATGTAGCAAAATGTCTACGACAAAGTCATTGCAACCGGTTCTAAAGGTACAATTCTTCTAAAACACTAGCGCGTTTTTCGTCATTACAATAACAATCACAAAAAACGTGTACAGACTAAACTAGAACAACAATTAAAATCGCAGAAAACGCATGAAGTTAGAATAGTATTGGAATCGATCCAAAGAAGCCACATTCTAGTAATGCGAATCGTAGTTGAAAATATTCCACGTGCCACTTTTGTTCATGTCATAAAAACAAAATTTATCAATCAGTCGTGTTGTTGTTTATTAGAAATGCGTGCGCAATATTGAGCCGACGTCGCCATAGTCCATGTTATCCTTGACACTTTTTACATTTGCGTTTTTGGTCGAGAGAGAGAGAGAGAGAGAGAGAGAGAATGAATTGTGAGATTTAGTACAGATTTCACTTACAATTCTAATCATTTCTACACACTTGCTCATTGCACGGCGTTCTATTCTCGTTTCAATTGTTTCGATAGCGTAAACAGAGAATAAAACACAAATCGATAAGCATCATAATATGGAAAACTATGACGGAGAATATTTTGCTAAGTCAGATATTAATAACGTGTTCTAACTTTGTTATGCGTTTAGATTGATTCGATAGTGTTGGTGTTACACCTATCTCTTATAATTATATGCTAATAACATCTGAAATAAACACTCTTGTATTTAAAATTGATTTTAGAATAAAAACAAAATAGGCGGTTGCACAGAGTGTTGAAGGGGGTTGACATCTCTTGGGCTGCTTCGACTGAAAGAACGGTTAATCATTTCGAGAACTTTGTTCTTACAGAAAAAAATGCATGACTTTTGATTTTTTGGCGTGAGTTCGTGTTCCAGTTACACACAATACGAGCTCATTACTTGGTAACAGACATTAATTTGTGGCGGCAATTTAATGTTAAACCGGTAAAATTGAATGAAAAAAACTCGACCAGTTATCCTATTCAAGGCAGAAGAAACCACCAAAATCAGGAATACTGGTTAATCAAAACCATTTTTACTGTTCAACACTGTGTTGTCACTTTAGAAAAATGTGGTGATGAATTGTCAAAAATTATTCCTGCAGACATGAAATTGTCGTTGAAATAAGCCAACGTCAATTCTTCCAGTTTCAAGCCAAGAAGAACTGATGACTTCGGTGTTTTTGTATAAAAGACACACATCAAATTTGTCAAAAAAATGAAAAAGAGAAGAAAAATCGACGTCTAACCACTTCGATATCCACATTAAAAAAAAATCGAATCGATTTCAATTATTTGCTGTGGTAATAACTGTTGAAATTGTGTTTCGATGTCAATATCATGGATCGATTTACCGCACAATTTTTATTACAGAATTTTTAGTGAATTAAGAAAATAGCAAAACAAACACACACTCACAATATCTGCGGTGATCGATCGATTCGATTGCATGCAGTCGCATTAAAACGTAAATGAGTTTTGATGACGCGAATGGCGATGAGTGTGTCGCAATGGAATAAACTAGAAAATGCATATTCACATCTAATTGGACATGGTTTAGTGAATTAGAAACAAAACAAATGATCAATCTCTCACTCAAACCGATCCGATTACATTCACGCGCGCACGCACAATTGAAATCACAGAAAATGTATAATTTATTTTTGAAATCGGTCACTTTGTCTCGCATCAACTTTTTTCCAGTTCAAGTTAATCGAATAAATGAAACGATCGACCTTTCAGAATATGGAGAGAGAGAGAGAGAAATAGAAATAAAATTGCATATTTTTTTAACATTCTCGATCATATGTTTAATAACTCGTTAAGCACATTGTAAATTATCGAGATTTTTAATTCGACTATTATAATTTTGTTCATTTTTCATCTGATTTTTTGTAGTCGATTTGAATTTTAATTGTTTCGATTGTATGCAATGTTCAATGATACTCGATGCTTGTCGATTTTTCGTTTTGCAATTACAAAAATAATAATTGTCGTTATTCTCATTCTCAATTTTGCACGCTATTAAAATCATTTCGAAATGCTTCATTTTCTATGCATTGAGTGCTACAGATGGGATTCGTAAGCGTTTTGCGCTGACTTAAGGGAATTCCCAATTTTCTGACTAAATCTCAATTTTCCTTCATTTAACTGAAATTCTTTTCTGATTTTAATCTCTCTTTTTTTCTGCGCAGCATTTTGCATCGTTTTACGAATATTAGTAATCGCCATTTTATTTATAGAACGGACTATTCAATACGATTCAATACTTGATAAATGAAATTTCTAAACTTTTTTTTTTCCTTGGTATAAATTGATTATCACCGAAAAATCACCAGAAATTCACTAGAAAAGTTCAATTCGAAATAAAAGTTCTAGAACAACAAAAATAAATGCTCTAAATAAGGAAGAGAAATTCTAACTTCCAGCTAATAAACCGCATAAAATAATCTTTCCGTAAACAAAAGACGGGCAAACATTGAAAACGGCTGCAAATAGAAGGGATCTATGACAGGCACCTATATAATTTATCATGTTGTAGTATGGGCGTAATGGTTACCCTGATCGCGGGTAATTAATTGAACAAGTGTTTATTGTACGGTGTGGTTTTAAACGATTAATTGATGTGCGATGATAGCTCTCGCCCCCAAATGACGAGCAAATAACTGCTGTTACAATGTAACAGTGTTACATTATACCTTGATGGGAAGTGTCTTAATTGTTTTGGAATCGTGTTGGTGTTTACGTTATGGTTTTAAAGAACCTTCTCTGTCATTTTCTCCTCTACATAGAAGAGAAAACGTTGCATAACACTTCCATTTGACGTAAAGATTCAATGATGTACGGTGTTGTAATTGTGAACTTTGTGTCGATACGTCATTGTTTTGAAAATAATCGCTTTTGGTTTTAGTTTCGATGTTTTCAAAACATTTAATTTTTTCCATATGACGATGCTGTTGCGCATCAAATCGTTCGTAATATATGTATATGGGTATTGTTTTGTAAACAAACTATACACAAGCAATATACGATTTATCAACAATTCGCTATCATTTGGAACAGAAAAAAATCCAGTACAAAAATTGTACTTTGACTTTTTGCGAGATAGTTGCTATTTTCTGACCTAAGTAAGCTGATAAAAATATCAACAATGATCCCAGAGAGATCATCCTATAAACAAAAACTCGCCACTTATTTTTCAAATGTCATTGGATTTCATACGGGCGGAATCAGTGGGATTTTTACGACAAAAAGAAAGAAATTTAAGTGGTGATTCACAGTGTTTTACTTTATACACACAATCAAGTGTATGCGGTGTGCGCTGTTGCTCTCTCGCTCTTGGTGCGCTACGGATTTGTGACTTAATGCAATTAGAAAATTGAAGCATTTTATATGCAGCACACACTTGTGTTCCACTTTGCGCGCTTGGCTTCGATACGAATGAATGTGACTTTCAGTTTATGCTAATTACAAACACCATTGCATTGCGATTCCCGTTTCAACGATTTCAATATTATGTTTTCTATTTCTTCACAATCTCTTTGCACTCTCGCTCGCTGCCGCATTTGCTTTATTGAAATTGGCGCAATTTAATTTATGCTTTGCATTTTTATGTCATTTTCTGCTTGCGTAGGCGAAACCATTGTTGTTCAAAATGCGAATTAGATTGATTTATTAATCGATCAGCAGATTTTTTAATATGATCAAATTCACCGAAAAAAATCCAGCTTGCCCAAATGACAAGTCATCAACTAGCACAAGAAAAATGAGATTGTTTTCAAAACTTACTTCTTTGCTCTGTGTGATGTTTTGGTTTGAAGAAGAAAAAAAAAGATAGAAAAATTTCTCTGAAATCGCGTTCACTTTGTTCAAGATTCAGACTGTCGCCTCCGACGTTTGATTGTACACTGACTCGGGCAACGCTATTGAGCGGTGCTCAGAGATACTGAATCTCCTCGGTCGGTCGGTCGTAGCACAATACAAACTCGAGATCGGATTCGTTCTCAAACAAACACACGGTTCTAAGAGAGTTTCTCTCATGGAGAAATCACAAACGGAACAAAAGCACTGTAAACAGTCACCCATACCAATACATCCAAACGAGCAACGAACGGCTGAAAAGAAATTATCATCGCTTTGATGCCATTTGCGTGGTACTGTTTACTCTATGTATGAGTGTGCTATAACAACGAATGAAAATAGCGTCGAAAAAAAAAAACGGCAAGCAATGGATCCACACAGTGTTTTGAGTCTCTGCCAATCATTTGTTGAGTGTTGTTTATTATTTATGTGAGTAATGCGCATATTGACGCTCAGTTCACGTACATTTTTCGGCACAATGGACTGGTATTGTCTTATCACAAAACCGCGCGCTCTCTCTCTTTTTCTCCCCGCTACAAATGGTGTGAAAATCATGCAACAATTTATTTGCCTTTTTTTCTCTACAAAACCCACAAAACAACAATCTTCTTCTGTGAAAGAGAAGCGCTGCGAAGAAAAATAATTTATTTATTCTTCATATTGTGATGCATTACATGAAATTCAAGCAGCTAATACAAAGCTATTTTTAGCTACACATTTGGATAAGCCACACTTCAAATACGATTCATTACGAGTAATTACCTGCAACTGAAAACCATTCAGTGCTTAAGCTTGCATATTCTGTTTGTATGCAAATTACCCACGGTGTTTTAACGTCGAGAACGGCTAATATTCTGTAGTGCAGCGGCGGTCACTTTACTAACAGAGACGTTGACCCTTTGAGCAGGCCGATTTTTTTTTTGCTGTGGTTCACACACACATTTGTTGTGCGCATAGTATGCAATTTTCTTTAATGTCTTTATTTCGCTTTTTAATTATTTCATCAGTTGCAGTGAAAATTTCGAGAATTTATGCAACCGACTTTTCCAGCTTAAATTACAATAGCGTACTAATGTAGAAAGAATTTTTGATTTGTGTGGAAAATGTAATTTTTTTTCCAGTTGAAGAAAATTGTTCAATTTATTCCAAATTTAAAAAAAAAATGATTATGTATTTAGTGCGCATTCATTGCGCTTTGTAGTGATTAAGATGTGTATAAATTATGATGTGTTTTTGAACAATTTGCATCGACTTCATCGATTTTTTTGCGAAAATTCAGTCAACATAATTCTTCATTCAAAAGTTCTTTTGTCTATGTTTTCTCTAAATAAAACCCAACTAATAAAATTATGAATAATTTATTAAATAAGATAACACATCAAATGAATTACTGAACGATGAACAAAAAGTTGGAAACGAAAATTTGTATTTGATAACAAAATAGCGATTGACCCAATTGAGTGCAGGCTCGAATAACAAAAAAAAAACTATGTTATCTTAATATGGTAAAAAAAAAGAGTCAAACAAATTTCATTAGAAACGGTTTGGTGTTCGAGTGCATTTGTGTTGACTGTAAACTTCATCGTTTCGTGCATAAACTTGACGTTCTTCAGGTGAACAACATTTCACACTCAGCTGATCAACATTGAACATCTATTGCTCTCTTTCGTTCGGTCGACTGCGATGAAACACATATGTAACGTCGCGCGTTTGAATCGCGCGTATGTGTCATTATCCACATAGTACATGATGTGAGTGGCAAATGTACGTATCATACGCTGAACTGTTCATAGGGTTGTCTCGCTTGCTCGAGTGTGCTGCTATGGCGGTGCGACAAAGGCAGCATCGCTCGAAATAATAAACAAAAAAAAAACAGTCATGCTTGTCAGTGTGACGTTTCTCGAATGTAAATATAAATATCACGTAGTCGATGTGACGGCAAAAGAGAGGCGAATCATAGGCAGATCGCTATAGCAAGATTAATGTTTAAGCGAGATGAAGAGAAATGATTGAGTTGCGCGTCCGAATAAAAACCATGCTGTTGCTGCTGCTGTTGTTGTATTCTTTTATGCGTGTTTGTGGGCAAAATGTACAACTGTATGTGGATACACAGTGAAATAGATAAATTGAGGAAAAAGTAATCGTCTACAGCTCATAAGCAATCATTCATAGTCCAAAAAGAAAAACGATCACACACAACACAAACATAATTCATTTCTCGTATAAATATAAAATGAAATTCTATCTTTGATTTTGTTGTGATTCAAACCAAAGAACGAACAGACAAAAGACAAACAACAACAAAAGCAGAAAAACAATTTTTTGTGATGCAATCGTTTGATAAAAAGAATCAAATAGAAAATTCCAAATTAAAGTGCACTAAACTTGTTTGAAAATATACAATTCATTCGCATCGTTCGTCATTCGTCGTGTGTCGTATGAACAAAAAATTGATTGAAACTTGAAACCATTTTACGCAGTGAATGTGCCGTGCTTCGTGTGTGACTCTTTTAAATTGTTTTTATTAATTTTTTTATGGGGTCAATGTGATTAACAAAATAATAAATCAAATCAATCGCTTGTGAAGAAGAAAAGAGTGCGCAAAAAGTGAATTTTGATTGTGATACATTGATGGTGACAAAACGTAAAAACAACACGACAATAACAGCCAGCAGTAGTAGTCGTCGTCACAAACAGACGGTGGGAAGAGAAATGACAAAAGAATCAACAAATAACAGCGGCTATTTTGCACACAAACATCCCAAAATATAACATATTTATTTTCGCTATTTTTGCTTCATTCGGCAAAGTCGCATTTTGAGTCGGGGCATTGCAATAAAAAGAAGGAGCTTTTCCATCTGAGCTCTCATCGACCGTAGTGAATATGTGCAATTTTAGAATTGATTCAGTGAAATAAAAGAGAGAAAAAGAGGGAAAGCGAGAGAGCTAAGCAAAGAAAAAGCGAGATAAAAGTTGTAGCGTTTTGAAAGTGACGATTCGTGGAAATAATGTCGGTCAATGCAGTAAACCTAACGGAATCTAACGATGTGAACTATGTGTGGAATAATACCGAATGGGATTTTATCCCAGATCCAATCTTATTGAAAATTCTTACTCAATTACCTGTTCGTGATATACTAAATGTAAGTGAGTGCTGTCGTCGATGGAATGACATTAGCAAAGATGATTATCTGTGGAAGAAGGTGTTTCAGCGTGATTTCAAAGTGGACAAAGCGATTGCATTGAAACCAGGTAAAGTGTGTCAAAAGGCATGAACATACCATTTATCGATGATTTTATCGATTTTCACGTGACCAACAATCACAAAAAAAAATTGTGCTGCTTTTGCTAACGTTCTGATGTGTCCGCGACCACCGATAACGCGCATTATGTAAAACGAAACGCAAGGACAAAAAAATGTCAAATTGTGTGTGTGTGTGTGTGTGTTTGTGGTATTTCGATAAAACTGTACCGAGCGTAAGAAGAAAAAAAGCAGCAATGAGAGTGAAATCATGTCATTGAGTTTCCGTTCCAAATATAGATTGACCTAAATCAGCGGTATACTCGCTAAAATTGATGCTCCACTATTTGCTAAGTGCATTAATGATTTGCTGCAATCTCTGGATTTCCACTAGCAAAATAATTGGATTTCCAGCGAAATATGCTGACTGCACACCGAAATGATGAAATGGTAGCAAAAAAAAATCATGTATTACACCACCAAGTCAAGTCAGTTGGCACTATTTTGCATACAATGCTTTTTTTTTGCATAGATTCATCGTGAAGTCATCGAGTGGAATGACGATTCAAAGCAAAATTAATTAAGGCGATTTATTTCATTCGATTTATTCAATTAACCGATTTGCAATGAAAGCAATCAATCAATCCGAATCAAAACAGATTACCGACATTCCGGAAAAGCGAAATTACTCGATGTCAAAACAAATCAGACAAATGCAAACAACTAGAAATAAATGGTGAAGCAACAAATATGGACTAACTATTGAATCGAATATGGGTTACAAGCAAAATCGAAATGAATGTTGGCATTTGCATTTCACATTTCCAGGCTTTGCTTTATTTGGTTATACATTCCGAGGTAGTGGGCATTGTCCATTTAGCATTCATTGCGAACGAATGGTGGCGGCGACGGCGACGGTGCTCAATAGCGATTATAAAGTGCAATTCGCATCGATTCCAATGTACAAATTTTAAAGTACAATTACACCGCCTCAGGGGAGTTAATGCCTATATCACGACAATGAAAACAAATTATAATGTGTCTAGCGATACACCGCACATCTAATGTGATTACGTTGGCGACGTGATGAATACGAGCGACATGCAATTTCATGTCATTTTCATTCTTAAATCTGATCACTGATTGCGATTAGTCATTACACGTAACTCATTATTCATTTTGTCTATTTGCATGTTCGACGATTTTGTTTTTGATTGTTGTTAGGCGCTGAATCCTGGTACAATGAATACAAACGACTGACTTACAATATACCGATGGTGCTAACGGATGAATTACAATATGCACACTCCCATCAAGTATTGCACGTGAGCTTCTCACACAACGGCCGAATGTTTGCCACCTGCTCGAAAGATGGATTTGTTCATGTAAGCGTGAGCTAGAGCAATTTTACAGTTGTGTTCGTGGTAAATTGAATTAGACTTAGATAAAATAATGATTCTATCTTTGTGGACGTTTTAGATATGGAATTCATCGTATCCTGCAACAATCAAATACTCGCACGACATGCGAAAGTTTAGCTGGAAATACACTCAATATTCTCAATTCAATCAAAGTGATACACTGTTGCTGGTTTCTGGCGTACATTTTGGATCGCCACATTCGACGTCCGGTGAAATTGCTGTATTCAGTGTGACTGGTTTGTTCTTGGGTCGCATTTTTTGTGTGAATTTTCGAATCTATTCGCTTCTAATAACAATTTTTCGTTCCCATTTCTTTCCCATTAGGTGATTCTCACCTTCGATGCAGAGTTGTAAATCGGCCCTATGACATTTTCGGTACATGGTTTAGTGATCAACATTTGATATCGGGTGATTTGCACTGGCTGGCCCATTTGGTCAGCACATCCGTGTTGTGGTTGAATAAGGCGAATCAAGAAGTCGATTCAGAGCACGTTCCCATCATGAATCAACTGTATAAATTTTATAATCGAAATGCCAGTTCTATTCGTGGCATTACGATTGCGAATTGCCCTTGGCTGGAAGATGACAACGATCCAATGCCAGATGACACACAAATAGCAACGAATGTCACAAATACTGAACCAACTCCGTCGACATCGGACGATGTGAAACGGGCTGGAAATCCATTGTCACAACCAAAAATGATACAGGTTCCTCCATTGCATTCAGGGACTGCTGCTTCTTCGTCAGCAGCCGATAGTATTAGTTTGCAACACAATCGAAGCACAGACAATTCACGCTCAATCCATTATCTGGCCGAGTTTAGAGAGGAGTTTGAAGACAATTACTGTGAAGTTGATAACTCATTCGATGACAGCGATTTTGATGATGATAGCCAAGGTTTGTAAGACATTTTCATTTAAGATGGAAATTGTGAATTCAAACATTCTTTTTTATGTTTCAACAGCGATGGACGAAGATATGGAAGATGACTTTGAGGACGATGATTTGGACAATCTTTCGCCGAAATATTTGATCTTCTCTACTGGATCGAAAACATACACGCCGCATCAAATCGGCTTTAAGCGTATACGCAACGTTAACTTTCCGAAGAAGCTCGATCCAGGACCAACGCTCAAAGAACGAATTGCCGCCAAGGAACGAGAAAAAGCGCTTCAGGTTGATATTTATTCAGATTTATATGGATATTTCTTCCAATCCATTGAAAAATTCCTTCCAACATTCATTTTTTTTACTCAACTCAATCTTTTCTAACTTTCTCCTAGGTCAACGAGCCGCGTGTTGATCCTGATTGGTTAGACTATGATTCGGTTGCAAATCGATTTGATAAAGTTGACAAGTTGATCGATTTGCATGGTCATATCATTGGCATGGGATTGAGTCCAGATCATCGATATCTGTACGTGAATAGCAGGCCATGGCCAAAAGACTACATTATTTCAAATCCATTGGAACCACCGCCAATTGCACAAGAGATCGATATTCATGTCATTGATTTGGCCTCGTTGAAAAAAGTTGGCAACATGTTACGTTCACACAAAGCCTACACTCCGAATACGGAATGCTTCTTCATCTTCTTAGATGTTTGTGATAACTATGTGGCCAGGTGAGACATCAAAATTCATGTCAACATTTTAGCTTTCAAAGTCATCGATGACTTTTTCTTAACTAAATTACTTATGGTTCAATTTGAATTGAAAATATGTCCATATTTTGAATTTTACCACCTTCCATTACAGTGGAGCTGAAGATATGCATGCATACGTTTGGGATCGATATTATGGCATTTGTCTCGCCAAGTATCAGCATACAGATGTAGTAAATAGTGTGGCCTTTAATTCACGGGATTCAGAAATGTTAGTTACAACCAGTGATGATTACACCATTAAGGTAAGCCAAATGAGATTTTCGACTTTATTGACATTTTTCATCCAATATCATTTCATTTCGAAGAGCTAATTAGAATTTTAGAAGAATAGCCCATCACTTCATGTGATTTTACTTTGTTCATACAAAATTTCACTCATTTTTTCCATCTTTAGATTTGGCGTTCGATTGACCGGTGCCGTGAGTTGAATGCAACCGAGATAAAGCGAGCCGCTGAATTTCGCAAATAGAAACGATATATCAAAAACAGACAAAAAAAATAACAACAGAAAGTTAACTGGATATGGAATTAGACTAAGAAATGGCTTTAAAAAAGAAAGATATTTGTGTTTGACAGTCAAAATTGTTGTATTTAGACGAAACAAAGTGATTAGAAAAAAAAATTTCTTTAAAATTTGATAAACCGATTAAGTTCCAAATATTCGTATAGTAAGAACGATGGTTTTTAACCAATTGTCTAGAGACATTATGCTATTATTACCAAAATGAAGTATGAAGTGTGACGACAGTGATGATGTTAGAGTTACGTACGATAAGAAACAGAATATTTTAGATAGAGACAAAAAAAAATAAAAAAAGAAGAACTGCGATTGAATGGCGTCAACAGATAAAGAAATATATGAATTTTCAGCACCTCTTGGATGTATGCGCTCATCGATGCTGCTTCAATTTTGTCTATGCATCACCAGAATAATCCAAATACCAATCCACAGAGTTTATCAAAGACCTTTGAGATTAAATCTATTTACCATTTTTTTATATAATTTATTTTAATAAAACTCAAAATCTTTAAATAAAATGAACATAATTTATTTTCTCTCAAATTTTGCTTTTTTCATGCATCCGTTTATTCTCTGTATTTCAATGTTTAAGTTTTCTACCTGATGTTTTCATACATTTTCAATCCCTTTCCAAATGAAGAATGCTCACTCAGTAGGAGACGAAATGCTTGGCAATAAGACTCATAGTCGGGTGTAAAAAAATGTTCACAATGGATAGGTACAATTTTAGTGTTGTTCTGTCTCCGACTTGCATTTTGAGGATCATGTTTTCAACATTTCGACAATGTCTGAGAAAATAGATAGTAAAACGGATGAACAGAAACTTGCCAGATGCTAGATATGAGCCTTTCGGCAACAACGCATTAAATTGTCGTTTAAGGACAACGCATTTTCGTTTGTTTGAAACTCTGACCAAACGTCACATTGTATTTTGCGATGAAACTCATTTGACCAATTCACTTGCAGACAGAAGGTGTTGAAGACAAGTATGGAGTTGAGTTGTTGGATTTAATATTATTTTCTATTCTCAAGTTGTGTTGGTTTAGCAGTTTTGAAAGTGAATTCCACCTACAATTTCAAATATTAATTGAAATTCTTCAGTTTTTCTGCAAATAAAAACGTTCTTCTGTTACGAGGATAAAAAAGTGATTTGATCTTCTGGTGACATAAAGTAAGTATGAAACCATTCAAGAATAACAGAAAAACCAATATTGAATACAAGTTAAACGAAACAATATCATGTCTTGTGCTCCGTATCGTAGGCAATATTGGTCTTGTTGTTACTTTTCAATTGACACTAATGAGCCCTAATGAGCTCTTTATCCATAACTGAGACGGAAAAAAACTTAGAGCAAAAAAGAGACAAACAAAGTTGTGAGCAAAAGTGACACAACTCAGTATTGAGCGGAAAAGACGTTTTTTGCATTTTTCTCAATACTGGAAAGAGATAGCGCCTAAATGTCTTCGGCTTATTTGTAATTCTTTTTATTTTCTACAATAATGCCCAAGACACCTAATCGTTATCTCTTTCAAGTAGCGGGAAAAATACAAAAAACGTCTATTTCACCCAATGCTGAGTTGTGTCACTTTTGCTCGTAACTTTGTTTGTCTCTTTTTTGCTCTGAGTTTTTTTTCCGTCTCAGTTATGGATAAAGAGCTCAATTGGGTGTCAATTCATGTTCTATGGGTGTCAATTCATGCAAACATATTGCGATTGGTGTCTTTCTCAAGTGATCGATCGTTGCTAAAATGAGCATTGCTAAAATCATTCCGTTTAGTGAATAATATCTTAGAAGAAACCATTCCCTGTGCTTAAATTCTAGTCTATTTTAATATGTGTAATTATTTTTTAAAAAACACCAATTTTGAACCAAAATATTGAGTTAAGCTAAATCGCCAAACATTCCTTTTTTCGTCACAAAAAGCTGTAAAAAATGGTATGCTCTCCGTTTTCTCAAAATCAAGTTGCATCCGATTCGACGCAATCGAAAGACTTACTTGTGTTCATGGACTTCTTTGACGAGATAAGTGAAGAAAAGAAGGTAAATCAAATTTCGAATAAGTAACAACTCCTGTATGATTTAAAATAGACTAATTTAACATGGACTCATTTTTTTTTCTCAAAATTTCAGTACGAGTGCTTGCAAAATGAATTGAGAATTCCCGAAACAAAAGTCAATACGATTGGTTTGAGATGTATCCGAGATTTATCAAAATCTAATTGCTATGCAAACATCGATGCACTTTTGATTAGCATCAATCAATTGGCCCAAAGCTACATGATTCATTTTAAAGGTAATAATTTTTAATCTTTTTTCTTGCATTCAATTTTGTTTTTAATCAAATTTATTTCATTCTGTCACACCACAGAAAATCCGAAAATATATAAAATTGCCAATTCTTTCAAGAAAATTTGTTTCGAGCAAGCTGCTATTATCAAAAAGTGTCCCGATTGCTACGAAGCATGGAAGGAAGACAAAACAAAAACACAAAGAGCTTTCTTCAAACTAGTATGTTCCAAACCACATTTGGTGGTACTATATAAAGTGGATGAATTTCCGATTTGGCCGGCCAAACTGTTTTATATCAAAGACGGCATAGCTAATGTTGAATGTTTTGGTGATCAAACGGAAGACGACATACCGCTCAGTCAATGTTTTCTGTATTCAGATAAAATTCCTCGTGAAAGTTCAGACGACAAAAACAAGCAAGAAAGACTCAACCGCGCATACAGAGTAATTAAAACTGACTCTTCTCTCGTGGCTTTCATTTAAAGACATTTTTTCATTAAATTCAATTTTTCAGGACGTCGAAAAACATATCAAACTAATCGAAGAAAAATTCGGTGCTGGTTCGTTTGTTTCTGCTCCATATAAAATACAAGTCAGTAATTTGGAGCAGCATTTGAAGGACATGTTCCCAAGTGTTTATACAGAGAGCGTAGGTGCAACCGATGTTCTGCAGACAAAAGCAACATCCTCTGAAGCGCAAAGCGAAGCTGAAGAACCATTTTTTGGAGAACAATCCACGAGCAACTGTTTAACTACTTTCAACCGTAATTTGTCGACATTACCCGAGAGCAATATGGACATTTCAATAGAAAATGATGATTCCTATGATTCTTCCGATGACGCCGAAGAATGGGGTAATCAAAATCATGCAATTAAATTAGAGAGTACATTCGATATTGAAGATGCAGATGGAAATCAATCTGGTCAACTTGATGCACAAGACAACGTCTTGCAAGCTTACAACGGTGATAATAGCAACACAAGCATGAATGAAAATCGGCCAACAATCGCGGTAAAAACCAAAGATATATCGGAAAATGGTCGAAACCAAAATATTCGAAAACGTCGAAACGATTTGATGGAAAACCAGGCAGATCAATTGCAAAACAACAAAAAATGTAACGCCTCTAAATCAAGAAATTCATCAAGGGGTGGTGAAGAAGAAATCATAACATTAGACAAAGATCGAGTAGCTACCGAAGATACAAATGCAACACCAGAAAATACTCTCGTTCTGGTACTCAAAGAATACGACGATGTCAACAAACAAATCTACGACCTTAAAGCCGAATTGGAAAAACTAAAGACACGAAAAGATGAGCTTGGTAAAATACTTCTTCGAAAATGAACGAAGAATTGATATAGTTCAGATAGTTTTCAATATATACTTAAATTTTGCTGGAACAAGCTTCATTTGAGAACAAACAATTTAAATAAATTCATTTACTTTTTCCATCGAATATGTGTTATTTTTTTATTGATTAAACATAATAGTTCAGTAGAATTTAGACTTATACTAACTTGAAGCAAAATGTTGCAGAATTCAAAAGCGTGGCCTAAATTGCATAAAGAATTAGAGCGCTACTTAGAAAAAACAGCCGCACATTTCGAAAACATAAACACCATACGCTTTTTATATAAAGTGCATTTTCATTTCATGCCTAATGGTCTTCAAGTGATAACCATATTTATGAATTTTCTACATTTATTGGACGCATATATGCGTTCGTCGAAGGAACTCCAATTGTGTCTTGATACATCACGACAATAATCTGAATATCAATCCACAGAGTTTATCAAAGACCTTTGAGATTAAATCTATTTACCATTGTTTATATTTGTTTCAATGCAATTGAACTGTTTAAATTAAATGATCATAATTTATTAGCTCTCTATTTAGTTTTTTTTATTTGAAATCGGCATCTGTTTAGTCCTAACTTCATGAAATGTACGTGCAGTTTTCTACCTGTCCTTTTTCATACATCATTTGGATAATACACTCTCAGAAAGAGTCCAAATGCTCGGCAATAAAATTTATGGTCGAGTGTAAAATTTTTGTTCGACACTGCATATCATTCTAGTGTGGTTCTGTCTTTAACTTGCATTTTGTAGATCATTTTTACGAGATTCCGACAAAGTTTCAAAAAACGGTTAATAAATTAACATTTTTGAAAGCGTAGATGCATCTTCGTACGTCAAGCAGAAAAAAATGTAGGTTTGTATTCAAGGTTTTTCATTGTGTTTTATGACAACAAAAAAGGTGTCCGACTGTTGTTACAAAGTGAACAAATATTGGCGCCAAACAGATGCTACGTATTGGGCTACATAGTTCGGCAAGTTTATATACACATCCGCACTAAACCGTCGTTCGAGTATGATACCATTTCAAAGGAGTGCATTCAAAACGCCGAAAAATACGATCCGAAAATTGTTGCTGAAATTCATTCGATAAACTCAGTTGTAGACAGAACGTGCAGAAGGCAACAGTGAATCCGTTGTATTTGGATTTATTGAGTATTTTCAAATTGTGCTAGTTTGACCGTGAATACATGTTTGGATAAAAAAAATTGAAGCATTTGAAATTTTTCACTTTTACCCGCAACAAGCAGGATAAAAAGTGTAAGCATAAAACTATTTTGAATTAACAGAAAATTCACCGTCGAATAAGTAAAAAAACAAATATTTTTGACGTCATTAAATTTATACACCGTTTGAATTCATTGAAATGCCAGAATTTACATTTCACAGTCAAGTCGAGTATGGTATTCCATATGGATTTGTAGTTTTGTTGTTGCTATACAATTCATGCATATTGTCAACAATAGATTGTTGTTGAAAGTGCTTTGCATAGCGTCCAAATTTAGTGAAAAATACATACATATCGTACATGAATCGACTGTTATGGGTCATTGCCGCGAGCACGTATATTGCTGAACAATTCAAAAATATCAAACTAGACACACAAAATTTATTCAGTTCAGTTTTTAGATATTAATTCTTTCCATATCTGTCAATGTTCTTTTCATAAAACCAAGCTTTTTTTTCAAGTTATATCTCAGAACCTTCCGAAATTCCTTAAGAAATGCCGTGCCCCACATACTTACAATTAATTCGAAGCGAAGACTTACTGTTTATGGATTTTCTTGATGAGATTTGCAGAGATAAAGAGGTAAATAGAATTTCGAATATAACTATGTAGTAAAAACTCTTGTTTGATTTGAAATATTTAATTTTTTTTTAAATTAAACTTCAGTACGAGTGCTTGCAAAATGAATTGAGAATTCCCGATACAAAGGTCAATACAGTTGGTTTAAAACGTATCCAAGAGTCATCAAGAACAAATCGCCATGCAAACATCGATACACTTTTGGCTGACATCAATCTTTTGGTCCGAAGCTACATGATTCATTTTAAAAGTAGTAAGTTTTAATTTATTTAAATGAGAAAGTGTCGCTTCCTCTGTTATTTTTAATCATAATTTGTTTGCTGTGTCTTAGAATGTCCCAGAATATATGAAAAAGCCAAAAAATTCAAAGAAGAATGCGAAAGGGAAGCTGCTACCATTGAAAAATGTTCCTATTGCTACAATGCATGGAAGGAGGACAAATCAAAAAAACAAACCGCTTACTTCAAACTTGTGTGCCCCAAACCACATTTGGTGGTATTCATGAAAGTCGAAGGATTCCCAATTTGGCCGGCTAAACTTTTTTATATCAAAGATGGCCTGGCCAACGTTGAATGTTTCGGCGATTATCTGGAAGATGACATACCAATCAGTCAATGTTTTCTGTATTCAAATAAAATCCCTCGTGAAAATTCGAATGATGAAACTCAGCAAAGAAAACTCAATCTTGCATACAAAGTAATTAAAATTCACTTATAAGTTATCGTTCAAGATTATTCATTATTCAAAGCTTTTTTTGTTATCAAATTTCCAGGAAGTCGAAAAACATATCAAACTTATAAAACAAAAATTTGGTTCGTTTGTTCCTGCTCCATATAAAATACGTGTCAGTAATTTGGAGCAGCATTTAAAGGACATGTTCCCGGGTGCTTATGCACAAAGCTCAAAGACAAGTACTGAACAACCATTATTTGAAGGAGCCTCTACGAGCAACTGCTCAACTTCTTCCAGGTGCGATGCCGGAACGAACATGAACAATTCCATTGAAAATGATCAATGTCCCAAAAATTCAAATAATACTTTGGATGACCCTGAAGAACTGGATAATCATAACCATACAGCTGATGATGCATCACCTCCAATTAAATCAGGAAATTCATTCGAAATTGAAGATGTAGTCGGAAATTATTCTGGCCATGATGGTGCACAAGTCGGTGATACCGTCGATTTAACAATGATTGAAAACCATCCAACAATCGCGGTAATGACCGAAGGTACACCGGGAAATGGTCGAAACCATGGTGTTCGAAAACGTCAACCTCAAGTTGCATGCAAAAGTTCGGGAGGTCGAGCACCAAGAATAGAGAAGAAAAGAAGAGCTTCTGAATCAGGCAATTCGTCACACACAATTGATAAAGGGGAAATCATAATAACGTTGGACGATTACGAAGAGACAACACCAGACAAAAAAGCGAGAGTTCTCAAAGAATATGAGGAATTGATTATAAAAATACATAACCACAAATCAGAGCTAGGAAATTTAGAGAAACAAAAGGCTTTGCTTAGAAAATTTCTTGAAAAATAAACGTATAAGAACTATTTTATTTTTTTATCTTTTAAGACGAACCAAATAACAGCTGCATCGAATGAAAAAGATAGTTTTTCCCTCTTTTTTGACACAATTTCTTTGGATTTCATACTAGCAGATATTGAGTATTTTATTTAAGAATGAAAAATGTAAAAATTTGTTTTTTTATTTCACTTATTTTCCTGCACTGAATATGAGCAGTCCAAGTTCTCAAATAAACCAAATGTATAAAAAAGAGTTGAAATAATCAAACGAATATCGAAACATCCCAATTCACTGTACAAGAAGTAAGTTTTTTTTTTAAACAATCATTTTTTCTTTCATTTTGATCGCTCTAATGCAATGAAAATTGGCCGTACCTTACAACTCAGGAGGTTTACAAAATATGAAATTTTAGTATTTTTAAGTCGATTAGAATAACTGGATCATTGGCACAAGTATAAAAATTTTGAATAAATTTAAATATTTCAATCTTCATTTTACTGTTCTATCGAAAATATTGTTTTAGTTTTATTGATGGAACATAATATTTTGATGACTTTAACTCGAATCTACCCACAATTATTTTTTGTCACCGATTTTCAAAATATTGTCAAAATATGTTATGAAAAAAATAAGATCTGCATACTCAGTTTTTTCAATTGTCCACTAGTTTTCCCGAAAGTCGCCTTTTGTGATTTTCAGTACAAAATTGACGGAAAAAGTGGAAATTAAAAGAAATGTCGAAAAAACTCACTTTTCTTTAACAAATTAAAAGTTTGAAGTGGTGTAACTTGAAAATAATTCTATTAACTTTAGATTCAACAGTATCATTGGATAGAAGCATCCTTTAGGAATCATAAACATGCTATAGCATAATGATATTATCACTAGTTAGATTTTTAGTACCAAGGTTCGTTACTTGTCACAAAGCGTTACATATATGTAACACGGGGTAGATTCATTTCAGTAGATTTCAGCGAAGCGCTACAAGCGCGATCTCATATACTGTGAAAAAACAAACACCATACATTTGTTAAAATTCACGCTGAATGAAAAATAGTTTCAAGGCTTGTAGCTGATGATTTATTGAATAAAGTTGGTGGAAATTGCGTAAATTGTACGAAATGTTGTAAGTATGTTAAAGGAACATTGTGCTAGCATATGCGTACAGTATTGTTTGAGCAGCATAAAAAAGGGAATGTGAAAAGAATCTGATTTTTTCACATCTGGAAACGATTGGTTCGAAAAATTCTTAGGAAAAATGACAAATATTCATGAACAATTTGAAGAAAAAAAACCGGAAACATGCATATCATTTTATTAATACTATCTACTTATCTTTGCCTTTGCATTTTGTGAATATTTCAACATTTTTGAGAACTAAAATGCATCTTTTTACATCGAGCAGAAAAGGTTTGGGTACAAATTTAAGGACTTCTCCAAGGAAACAACAAAAAGGCAACAAGAACAGATCGACTTTGTAATATGATGCGTTGACGTTCACTGATAGTGCAAGTATTTATTCAAGTTTCAGTAAGCATTTGTATTTTTGCGCTCACAGCAGACTGATCATTTCACGAAAACGCTTTCAAATCAATCCATACATTGGCACCAAACGGATGTATGTGTTATACAGTTCAGCAACAGCTTATCGGATACGCATTCAAACGTCGTTTAAGTGTGAAGTCATTTCAAAGAAGTGTGTTCGGAATGTCGGCAAATACGATCCATATAAAATTCATTTGACAAACACTTGTGCACTCAGAATTTATTGGTATTAAGCTAATCTAGTATTTCAAATTGTGTTCATTACGCTATCTTGCAAGTTAAAATAGTGCGATTTAAAAAGAATTGAATCATTTGAAGTTCTTCACAAAAAAAAACAAAATTGATCTTCTGATCCGAAGATAAAAAAGTGATTTACTCTTCCGTTGACACATGCAGGTATAAGCAATTTAAAAATAACAAACAACCAATATTAGTTGTAGCTATTTTTCTTGATTTTCATTTTATACATATATGTATACAAATGTTGCATCAAGTCATTTGATTTTATTGCCATGCTGGAACTATATCCTAAAGTCGGTTATGCATTAATGGCTAGTGGTTTTGTTGCCTGTTGTTGTTTTTTCAATTTATGCAAATACATGTTAACCGTACAAAACAAAAGTCACCAGAACTTGAACGAAATCTCTCAAAACCGCTGATCTTTTCTTTCTTTTCGTCCCAAACAGCTTAAGAATGGTAGGAATCATGAAATTAACCACTTCTAATGGAAATGTTGCATCATTGTCAGCACAACCGAAAGATTTACTTGTGTTTATGGATTTCTTCGATGAGCTTAGTAACGAAAGACAAGTAAATAAAACTTGGAATTGTATTTTGAAACAACAATTTTTGTTTAACGTAAAAAAACATTAATGTTGATCATCATAACATCAATCAAAATTTCAGTACAAGTGCTTGCAAAGTGAATTGAAAATTCCCAATACAGATGTCAATACGATTGGTTTGAAACTCATTCAAGAGTCATCAAAGTACTATGCAAACATCGATACACTTTTGACTGAAATCAATATTTTGGCGCGCAGCTACATGATTTTTTTCAAAAATAGTGAGTGTTCATTTTGTTTGTAATAAACCCGTGTTGGATTCGATTTTCTTTTTAATCAAATTTAATTTATTTGTCGCCGCAGAAAATCCTAGGATATACAAAAAAGCCAAAGAGTTTCAAGTAACATGTTGCAAAGAAGCTACAACGATTCAGAAGTGTCCCGATTGCTACGAATTATGGAAAGAAGACAAATCAGAGTCACAAAAAGAATACTTCAAACTTGTATGCCCCAAACCACATCTGGTGGTATTCTATAAAGTAGATGGATTCCCGATTTGGCCGGCCAAACTGTTCTATATCAAAGACGGCTTGGCCAACGTTGAATGTTTTGGTTTGCAAACAGAAGATGACGTACTGCTCAGTCAATGTTTTCCATACTCGAACAAAATTACCCGTGAAAATGCAGACAATAAAAAAAAGCAAGAAAAACTCAACCGCGCATACAAAGTAATTAAAACTTATTTGCATATTAATTGCAATATATTTTATTATTTATTTTATTTCATTCAAAATCATTTTCGTTTTTCATTCTTCCAGGAAGTGGAGGAACATATCAAATTAATTGATGAAAAATTCGGTGCCGGTTCATTTGTTCATGCTCCATCGAAAATAACTGTTAGTAATTTGGAGCAACATTTAAAGGATATGTTCCCAGGTGTTTATGGACAAAGCTCAAAGACAATCGATGATTTCCAGACTCCAGTCACATCAACTGAAGCGCAACGTGAAACTGAGCAACCATTGTTCAGAGGACCATCTACGAGCAATGACTCAACTTCTTCCAGGCGTGATGTCAGAAGGAACATGAATAATTCAATGGCAAATGATCAATACACCAATAATTTGAATGATAGTTTGGATGACTCCGAAGAATTGGATAATAACGGTGATTCAACCATGAATGAGAATCCGCCAACGCTCGAAGTAAAAACCGAAGGTACACAGAAAAATGGTCGAAACCAAGGTATTCGAAAACGTCGGCACGGCGTTTACATAAGCCAAGCAAATCCATTTCCAAACAGAAAGAGCAGAGCCTCTGAATCGGGGAATTCGTCACGGACTGATGAAGAGGAAATCATAACGTCAGACGATGATGAAGGTGATAGCGAAGAGACAAATGCAACACCAGAAAGTAAAGAGAGAGTTCTCAAGGAGTACGAAAATGTCATCAAAAAAATCTTCGACCACAGAGCAAAAGTGGAAAAACTAGAGAAGCGAAAAGATAAGCTGGGATACATTCTTCTTGGAAAATAAACGGACCAGACATTTAACACATCTGAAATATACTTTTTTTTTTATTCACAACGAAGAATATCGAAAGAATTTTTTGTATTATACACACTAAAAAAATGAAATAAAATAAATTAAAAAAAAATGTCAATATCACCGACTGCGATTACAGCTGTATTTTATGATCAATAGATTCGAAAATAGAGACTCATCTGCATAGCCAAATATGAAGTTATTTTATACCAGAATATATTCATTATACTGTGCCACTCACTTTTGCAGAGTTGCATTATGAGATGGTCGATCCAATCTCCAACAGAGGTGTGAAATGATCAAGATACTTCCCGAATAATCGGAAATACTTTGATAATTTCTTCCCACAAATTATTCGCGCATCGTGCTCAGATGGCGATTCAGCTAAAGGCAAAACAAAAACAATAAACAGATCTGTGACTTTGATCTGATTTATTTAAATTCTACTTTACCTCAACATAGAGAAAAAAGGTCAATTTTTATGATGATAAATAAAACAAAACATGGATCCATGTTGCAAACGTTGAAATTATTCAAAAGTGTGACACTGGCAATAAATTACATTAGCTATGCTATGGATATTCCCAAATGGTAAAAGGTGAATTAAAAACACATTGGTTCACAAGTCACATGTAAAGCGTATTAAATGTGATTTCCAATCAATTTATTAAATTGTGTATTCTACAGAATAAGAATTTGTAACATTCCAGTTGAAAAAATGTTCTTCGAAATGTTTGCATATTCACATGATCTACTACTGGGAAAATCCACTTTCTTCACCAATTTGTGTTTTATTTTTGTCTTAAATGCTAAAAAAGGTTACATTTATACATAAATTAAAAAGCGATTCAAACGGATTTTCGAATGAAGGAACTTTGTGAATTAAATGAATCAACTGATGTTTTCCGGGCCTGAGTGGTCGTGAGAGCCGTGTCCATTGGAGTCGGGCGGATTGCCATCGTCGGGGTTCTTCTTTTGATTCTTCTTCTTTTTCTCAACGTGGCCGAAACAATGCTCACACTCGTCATCGTCCTCCTCCGATGAACTCTCGCCGAATGCCAACGGTTTCTGGTAGATGCAACAACCTGAAAAAACGAAGTTAGAATAAAATTAAACTTTTTATCCATAATTGATATCATATTTGTCACGTTTTTTTCCTCCAAATTAAAATTAATTTTTGAATATCAATGAAATAGGAAATTCACTGAAAACTCACATTTGGACTTCTTTTTGCCCATATTTTCATTGTCCACCGTATCTGAATTCCATGACACTTTTTTCTCGGCCGATGTTCGACGTAGATTTAGACGTAGCACTGGAGCATCCTAGATTATTTTTGAAACAAAAAAAAATGAAAATACATTTGATTGAATGAATAATTTAATAAATTTCGTATTCAATCGGATAAACGAACATAGAAAGCAATTTCATTGGAAAAGTGTACACATTGTTGCTATGTTTGCTAATAAAATCAGGCCGTGATATCAAATATAAAACCGAGCAATTTTGCTAACTAAGTACAAACAATTCAAAGACGCTCTTATCATATTTACATAACATTTTCACTTGTAACAAGTAAGTAAGTGCGTTGTGTCGACATTTTTTTGGGCGTTCAATATGTTTCTTTTTCTCATTTTCTTTGTTCTATTTCTCGGTTTTGCTGCATTAAAAGCATAATCAATTTCCATATTCTCTTCTAATGTCTATGCATCGACTGTTGTACAGCTCGATTTCGATTTTGGTGGGAAGAAGAAGAAGTAGGTCGGCATTGTTCAACTTTTTTTGTGTTGAGACATTTTGTGACAGAGTGCGCAAGTTATCTTGTGCGTCATTTGTTTACAGTTCGGGATTTCATTACAGAGTTCAATCGAATTTCAAGAATTCAGTAGATAGACAAAATTGAATTCGATTTCATGCGACTTTCACTGAGTTACATTCTTTGTGGCGCTATTCGGTTTACATCGTATTAAATGACGTTCAAGTTCAATGTTTGTGATTCTCATCAGAGAATTTCTGGGTTACATCAATATCTGGCTTTAACTTGATATGAAGCGAGCGACTGACGTCACAAAATTCAATTGCATTTATTTGTTTTCATTAAATTTGTATTTTGCCAAACAAACGCGTGGTAATAAGAGAGATTGTGCAGAGAACCAGCTCAATATCGATTTACTGTTGTTTTTCTCTTTTTCGCATGGAGCTGTGTTTGGTCGTAGTTTTCAAAAATAGATACAAATAATGTATATGTGTATGATATAATGAACCACAACACACATTCCATGTCGAAGCCAACAAACATATATAGTCTATACACGAAAATATGAAAAACAACTTGCTAGTCCTATCCATGGTGCATTGACATGGATGCCGCAAAAAAGAACAACAACAACTTATCTCGCGATACGAAATATTCTATGGGGACTATCAGCCATAAAGTTGGTTCATTACGAGGTGGTGTTTTTGGTGTGTCTTGTAATTTTTTCTCTCCATCAATCATTTTGATTGGTGTCCGAAGGATTGGCCTAATCCACATCACATCTACACCATATAATCAAAATAAATTACAACTTTTCGATGCAAAGCACATTCAGAATTTTCTTATCGTTTTTTTTTTTTATTATTTGCTCCAAAAAGTTGTTTACAAAATGTTCATTGAATAATGTTTCGTGTGCGTAAATCGTTGATTTTTGCATCGTCATACTCAAGAATGTCTCTAAGAATTTCGTCGGTGTGTTGACCTAGCAATGGTGGAGCGGTTCGTGCTGTGTTGGATGAATCACTGTATGTGACCGGCGGTCCAACGACTTTTATTTCACCTCCAGTTGGGTGCGATAATGATTTGACTAGACCGATTTCTTTGATATGCGGGTCATCAAACACCTCAGCTATGCTGTTGATTGGGCCGACTGGAAATGGCGCATTTTCAAACAATGACATCCAGTGTTGTGACGTCTCATCGATGAATATATCGGAAAGAATCGATATCAGTTCGGCTCTATGCTTGACGCGTTGAGCGTTATTGATGAATTTCGGGTCGGTTGGAATGTGTGGGATGTTTAGATAGTCGCAAAGCGCTTGAAATTGTAAATCGCTACCCGTGCCAACCGTTAAATAGCCATTTTTCGTTTTGAACGCCTCATACGGAACGATCGATTCGTGTGCTGTACCCCATCGTTTGGCCTCTTTTTGTGCATTTAGATAATTGGACGCAACATTTATCAAACTTGCAACTTGAGTCGATAGCAAATTGACATCGATTTTTTGCCCTTTGCCAGTCTTCATTCGTTGCAGCAATGCTGCCATAATGGCACCGTGTGCGTATAATCCAGTGGCTAAATCAGTGACGGCAACACCCACTTTAGATGGTGGCCCATTTTCAGCGCCCGTTATATGGAGTAAGCCACCCATTGAAGCCGCGATAACGTCGTAACCGGGACGTTTTGCATATGGACCAACCGCACCATAACCAGTAATGCTGCAATAAACTATGGCTGGATTAACTTGACTTATGTGTGCATAGCCTAAATTATATTCGTCAAGTTTGCCGGGTATGTAATTTTCCACCAAAACATCACATTTCCGCGCTAAATCGTAGAGAATATCAGCGCCGTGTTTCAAGTCGATACAACAGCTGCGCTTGTTGCGATTGTTTGCCAAAAAGTAAACCGAATCTTTGGAGTTTTTCACAAACGGTGGACCCCATTTGCGTGATTCATCACCGCTGCCCGGTCGTTCGATCTTTATCACATCCGCACCCAAGTCAGACAATATCATCGTACAGTATGGACCAGCCACTAGATTTTCGGCAAAACAATTTATTTCAATTCAGTTTCATGTTTTGTTACAAAATTCCAAAATGTCATTTACCAATTCGAGTTAGATCTAGCACTCGAATCCCATCCAACGGATATGGCTTGTTTGGCTGTGTGTGTTCAGTGATTGTGGTGGTGGTGGCGGTGGAAGAATATTTTGTGCGAAGATTCTGTTGACGTGCATTATTATTGAAAACAACAGCCAATTTAGCAAAACGTCTTATCGTGAACATTGCGACACTAATTTGAACGAACCGAATACGTACACCATGAAACGAAATAGATCAATAAAATTGACTAACTGAAATGACGACAAACTAAATCACGACGACGACAACACACTGATTCTTTTTTTATAAAAATGTTAACACCACCTTTTTTTCTATAGCGATAGAATAATCGTGACTGCTAGAGGCAAACGCTGCTGTCAACAAGAAAACTGCTGACATGGGTGTGAGTCTAGTTGATACCAATATATAAATACAGATGAGATAGTCAAACAGATACACACTCACAAATGACGTTTGTGATTAAACGTATTTCGTCAGTTGTTCGACCGTCCGAAAGAGAGAGAGATCAAAAGTGCCAATTGCGTTTTTCTGATATTGACACCGATTACGGAATTGAACTGTCAAAAGTTCACACATGCATCGCTAATAATACACACGATCAATATCATTTAATTAATGGATTTTGCTAAATCCCATTTAAAATTACAAAACAAACGGCCTAACGGTTATGACTAGTTGTTATTATTCAATGATAATATGACTAGTTGTTATTA